GCAATTGCTTAAAGCATGACACGTTGAATTTAATGTGAACTATTCAGACTGGGTTTCTACAGTTTCATTAACTCCGACTCTTTAACTTCCCTCTTTATCACATCAGATGAATGCATTTGGTAAATAGGGAACACTTTGAAGTTATTGTTAGCACAGTTATGAATATGTTTGTTCACTTGTAAAAATCTAAGGGCGTCATGGATTGTTTGTTGCTTGTGAAGAGTCATTCTTTGACGTAGTTCACGCCCAGTTTGGCCAATATAAAATTTCAAACATTTAACACACACTATAGCATATATAACATTCTTCGACTTACAATTCATACTAGAACGTACAGTAAATTTAAATCCATTTTTGAAAACAAAAGTAGAACCTTCAATAATTATTTTACATGTTCCACATCTGGGCGAATTACATTTAGACACAATAAGTTCAGCTTGATTAGTTTCAAACTTGGAAAAACTCAATAGCCTTTTGAGATTTTTGGGTTATGTAACCTATTTTAAAACAATCCACATAATTTTGCTATGTACCCTATTGTAAAAACCAAAATCGATGACTTGCAGAGAACTAGCGTGCGTATGAAAAATGTTTTAGCTAAACATAGAATTATCAATAGTAAAAGACAACCCAAAAAAATGTGCATTAAATAAAGGAAGCGACAGAAAATTAATTTAAACAATGATCCTGTTTATAAGTAAACAATCTTCTAATTCTGGAATTGTATTGCCCTGACGATCAACATTGCAAAATATTGATTTAGGCAAGATTTATTTAAAATTGAAATATTCTGTCACACTGGATAGGTATAAAGCGTTGATGCAAATAATTCTCTATAATAATATATGGTATATTTTACAACCAATTCGTTTGCTTTTCATATATTTTGACATCTTTCGCACATTTTTTACATTTTTGTTTATGGTTTTTATGTATTCATTTTTGTGAATGTCTATTTTGTACATCGTTCTATGGCCCTAAATGACTCAAATAGTCGATGGGCCGTAAAACAAATACAAACACAAATGCAAAATTATGGATGATTTAATGTTATTAGAAAATAGCGTTATTTTGTCTTCTTAATGGTGATAACAGACAAAGGTATCATATTGTAAGTTGATATAACTTGGAATAAATTAGCATGGCTATTGTCGTCGTTGAAGTAACGATGCGATCTCTCCCGAACACCTGGTCATATTATCCTTGTACTTTTTCAAAGGTCTCCATGTGAATCCTTCATTCTTCACATTTTGCCTCAGTTTTATCGATCTTGAGATAGAATTATGGTTTTGTTGACACTTCGGTTACTCCTGCTGCTTTTGGTTTTAACAACATATCTTCTACCAAGATTTTTCTACCTTTTATTATCAAATAACATCTTTTATTTGACAATTACAGGACTGGTAAAACTGCAAGAACTGCTAAAGATACTAAATGGAACTGATGTCAAGGTCAGATGGCATCGTATTCATAATATCACCAACGCTCATGAAGACTTAAGGAAGCTTGATCGAGTGTACCCCGGTTACAAGAATAGCACGATTCTAATGGATTTTAACGCCGAACCAGCATATGATACAGTACTGGAGCAGGTTCGTATATCTATGCACGAAATTATAATGTTAAAGTTTCTAAAAGATGAATGCAAAGGACCATTTAAGTAATGCACACCAAAACTAGATTCTGTGGAAAAACAGAACATATCTAAGTTATTTATGACCATATATGCATAATTGGAGCAACATGGCACGGATGCAGTTATCATATCCAGAAACAGATTTAAATTATAACTTCATGTAGAATATGCAAACAGTCAGAGAAGTCTAAGATAGGTGGTAGAATAATGATAGAAAGGTGATCTCTAAAGACAGGTGATACATTAATGATATATAACCTGTAGCTGAGCGAGATCGGGTTATCTCTCGAGCTAAGATTCTGTAGCATTCCAACCTCTGCTTACGCCTCGGTTAGGATTATGTTACAGAATACTAGCGCTCGACTGAGATACATGTAACACGATCTCACTCAGGTACAGGTAATATATATTATTAATCTTTCACCTGTCTGTACATATCACCTATATATATCTACCACGTGTCTTTACAGATCACATATCTATTTCTAACACCTGTCTTTAGTGATCACCTATCTATCTCTACCACCTGTCTTTAGAGATCGTTTATTTATAACTACATGTATCACCATTCTTTAGAGATGACCAATCTATAACGATCACCTTTCTTTAGAGATGACCTATATATCTCTACCACCTGTCTTTAGTGATCACCTATCGATATCTACCACCTGTATTTAGAGATCACCTATCTACATGAACAATCTGTATTTAGAGATCACCTATCTATATATACCACCTGTCTTTAGAGATCGCCTATCTATCTCTAACACCTGTATTTAGAGATCACCTTTCTATATCTACCACCTGTCTTTAGATATTACCTATCTATACCTACCACCTGTCTTTAGAGACCGTTCATGAATACGTGTAACTATCTCCTTTTGTTAAAGATCATCTATATATATATATTCGGCCTGTCTTTACAGATCAACTTTCTGTATCTGCCACCGGTCTTAAGAGGTCATCTATCTTTAACCTGTCTTTAAAGAGTAAAGCTACAATCAAATATTCGTCATAGAGCACGCGTCTATATCTACCATAACTACCACCTGTCTGTAGTTATAGTCACTCGATATAAAGACATGTACTTCAATTAAGCCAAACCAAATGTCTTAGATATTACTATAGCCACTTTCTGCCTAAAGTCAAACACGGCAAAGATATATCTTGTCTGTGTTGAAGCAGTATTAACCTTACGCGTATAAACGTACCACATGGTTTCATGAGAAGATGCTTAAAGATGAGAGCACTTTTTTAACCATTAAATATAACAGCATTCACAATAAAACCACGACACACGTATTTTCGATCTATTTATACTTTCTCGTGATACTTTTTTCATATCTCAACCATTAAATGACTTGGTCAGTTGTGGAAAAAAATACCTCCATATACGAAGGTAACTGTATCACTAATTAACACAAAAGTGTCGTCTCGTTCGCTCTAGTATGTATGCATTTGCGTAAATTGCCGGGACATGGCTGAAGTTGGCTAACAGTACACTTAAGCATTAGAATGAGATAAACCTTAGTGTCAATGCACTTTAGAGCTCTGAGGTGTCAGCAAACTTAACAATAGAGCTAACGGAAGTTCCGCCATCATAATTTTATTTGGGGAAAAAAGGATATTGTTAGGACTATTGCGTATCGAACATCAGGATCTGTAATTGATAAAGAAAAAAAACCCAAAAAAACAAGAGTACCTGTGAAACTCCGGCTTTGTGAGGTTTCGGAAATTGTCGATGTGCTTCCAATGAAAGAGAACTACAAGGCGTTGTACTCTTGTCGCAGAAATTAGGGTAACTGTTTCATTGCGTAACAATGCGTTTGTGCAAAGCGTAAACACGATGTGACGGTAATTACCATACTTGTGAGACATCTTTAGAGATACTGCAGAGTTCTCAGTGTTCTTATCATTGAGAGCAGGATATATATTATTTGGAGAGAGTTTGATCGAATACGCCTCTGACTGACCGAATTTGGAAGCAGGGTAGATATTATTTGGAAATGTTTGATCGAATGCGCCTCTGAAAGACTTGCTTTGGAAGCAAAGCTTGATATCATTTCGCATGGTTTGATCGAATGCGTCTCTCTGACTGACCATTTTTTATCAAGAAAAAGGTACACTGATATGTTCCCAAACACTGAACTGGGATTGGTTTAAAACATTTCTTCCACACCTTTATTTCATTAACAATGCTGTCAAAGTCTGATACGAACATGAATATTACATTGTAGATCTATGAAAAATGGGAAAATAACAACATTGTGTTATGTTTCACCACATAACAAGGATGTCTACATGTAGCAAATTAGAAAATAACAGCATATCTTTTTTGAAGGGGCTGGTCGGGGAAAACATTACAAAATAAATGAGTCTAAATGCGTTCTCTGGCCTTCCAAAAGTTATACCACGGCAATATGATGGTCGAGTTCTGCTTGCAATGCCCAGTTTTGACCACTGAAATCTCGGGGAAGCCCCGTGTAAATTTAGCGCAGATCTATTTATATATGTCACGTGGTTGTTTCGAAAGTGAGGCAGTGAAGATAACAACAATAGCACGCCGTCATGTGCCATGTCGGACCCAACTAGCGGACAAGACAGCAATACTATACGTAAATAATTGTTTTCAAAGGTCATGTATGATGCAAGTGTAGTATTCCTACCTATATGTTGTTGTTATATATAACGGTATTGATACCTCGTGCCTGTCATGACTTTTGCATGCATCTTTTTCTTTCGCCGCGATGTTTACATTTGGCCTTGTTGATGACGCGCATGCGGTAAAATTACATCACTGATCTAGGTCAATTGAGAGTTTTAGACTGTCAGTTGACGATTTAGAATTTCTTTAATATAATTATGATTTTTACTCTTAGGGAGTGACTTTCAGCAAAATTTGAATCGGTATATTTTATAAGAAGGTATTTTAAACATGTGTATGCCATTTTAGCAAATATGACATTTTTTCCCCGACCAGCCCCTTTAAATAATTCACTATAGTGAACGCCCGTGGGTCTTTTATATCAGTTTGTAGGGGTCAATTGGTTGCACGTGACATTGTTTTGTCAGTGCATTACGTGGTCTCCGGAAAGTACACAACCAGTAATACTATTAAACTAAAGTACATGTTCCTGGCTTATCACATCTCTCAAGTACATCTAAATCTCATTTACAACTTCACGACTTCCTCGCTATTCCTTTTAACTTGTATTTCATTGATGTGTTTGCATGTTACATGTTAAAATTATATTTTAAAAACACTTATTATCGTAATCTGTCAATCACTGAAACCATTCAATATATTTATTTAAAACCGTTTTATTCAAATTTTACTTTGAACATTTTTAATTCGGGAGCATAAGTGGTTTTAAAATTGATACGTTTTTGCTATATTGATTAACTCTTTCGCTAAACGACATCCTCCTGGCGTTTTAAATCATAACTAACATCACGTTTCCACAATTGGTACACTACCCAAATTGGTACACGGTCAGAAATTGGTTCGAATTGTACTTAACAATATAACAAAAGGTTATTCATCAGCATTTCCACAAAACAGTTTTGTTTTTTAGAAATATTTCAAGAGTATACGATGACTTCAAACTAAACATGTCAGAAAACTAGTAAAAACGACGTACGTCGATGAAATTTTGGAGGAGTTTAAAGGGGTTAAAAATAAGCATGTTTAAATGTTGATTTCTGGTCCTTATAACCGGATAATATAAAAGGTTATATACACAATTGTAGTTCAGTATGGTATTTATAAAAGCAATATATTTTGTTGCAATCGGCACGTCAACTAGTAGAAATACAAACAAGTTTCATAGCCTGTGATGTGGTGTGCCGATTCGGGTCCTAATCACGACCGAAAAACGGATGAAATCTCACTGCGAGTTTAGCGTTGTATTTTCAAAAACAAATTACTTATAATTTAAATATTTTCTGCAAATGAACCACCATAGGTAGTCTTTGTCAAGAATCAAGAAACATTCAAGATAGAAGATCTGAATTTTTTAATATCAATGAAAAACTGTCAAAATTGTACCAATGGTGGTAGCGTGACGTTAAGCATTTATATATAAAGTTTTACCTTTTTTGCCGAAACGAAAAGAAAGATGACAAAAGCAAAAGCTGCTTCCAGTATAAAATGGCAAACAGCACTCTGAAACAGACTTTGATCCCAGATGAATTAAATCGTTTTTTCTTCTTTCTTTCACAAACAATGACATGTAAGTACCGCATTGTTTCATAAAACGAAGTCAGTATGTTTGGGATATTGCAGGAGAATTGGCCTGCTAAATCACACTACATGATCGTAAGAAGCAACCTTTGAGGGTTTCCTTCAGATTTGTGGTTTTATCTTTGCCTGTATTTCTAGCCATCTCTGGTCAGTGCGGTGTCAGAATATAGTAACCGGTTTCGAGTGTCATGGCTCTAGAATGGGTATGTCATTGCTGGACGCAGACGTCACATAATCGGCTTGTGAAAATTTAAAGCCCAAAATCAATATATATAAGAGAAAATTAGCATCATAATATGAGAAAACGATATACAAGAATATGCCCTGCTAACCATTGTACATGTATCTACTATTTGAACAGGACAACTCAAACGAGGTATCTTTATCTGAAAATGAAAAATTGATTTAAGAGAAAAAAATACGCATATTAATATATTTCGGAAAAACGAACAAAACTATTGCTATATGGAAACTTAGCACTGCAAAAGCGGCATTGTTGTTGTATTTAATCATTTATATTTCATCCTTATCCAAAATAACAAAATAAAAATAAAATGCTTTGAAGATAAATATCTTTAAATCGAAATGATATTTATATACCATTGCAATATATTGAGTGATAAAACAATTAAGTCTCAGTATTTACATTCAGACAGTAGTATAGTCGCATAATGCTTTGATCTACATGCAATAAAATATGTTTTTTAATGGCTGAATTGCTAAACCTACTTCACTCTCTTGATCTCTTGATCGAATTTGGTTTTTTGTTTGTTGGGTATCAAAGTCCTCGCAACAGCCATGGTCCTATGAGGACGGGTGCCCAGGGAGACACCACCAGAGAGAGAGGGATTAGATCGAAAAGAAAGTAGACAGGAACGACAGGAATAGAAAACGGTCATAAGTGTTGTACAAGTAATGGGGGCTGCAGATCAATTTTGATCTCTTCCATGTCCCGTTGAAGAGACGCTGAAGCAAATACCAGATTCTGCAAGGGGCCGTATAAGTCGCCTCGTACGATCATGCAGAGGGATGCAGCAGTCCTATTCCTTCCCCGAATCTGCACGGGACATATGATAGATCAAACGGACCTCACAAACAGTAGAAATTATTATTTAGGAATTTAAATCACACCAAACATGTCAAAGTATGCAATTGTCAATATAATACAATATTATTCAGCAAAAGAATAAAATTTGTATTTACCCTTTTTTGGACGGACAATTTTGATCAAAATTTATATTTCCTGATTACATGAATTACTATTTTGAAAAAAAAATACGTTAGGAATTTAAAATCACACCAAACATATCACATTATGCAATTTTAAATTGGGGTCTGTTTAGATCATTTAAATATAACATTGTTCAACAGAAGAATACATGTATTTAACCTTTTTCGGACAATTATGATAAAAAAAAAATCAATTACCTAATGAGCAAATGCAATGGACATATGATTTAAAGAAAGATAAAAACATGCAATTTACTTAATAAGACGAACCCATATAGAAACATTGTAATAGACATTGACCAAACCAATCCCGTCAATATGCTAGAACGAAAAACTGTATAATGAAAAACGATAATTGTCTGTGGCCAAACATTGATGAAGGGTATACTTAATATCAATTAAGTAGGTTGGGTTACGAGAATTGTCTAGAGTTAGGAAAGAACGCATGTATCATGTGTCGAAAACAGCCGACGAACGAATGCGGGCACCAACCTCAATTTCATTCTCAAACTATTGATGTATTGTAGAAAGCCAAGGTTATTTTTGTAAATGTTCAATTTGTTTCTTCACAAATTTGTGGAAAACGTTAGCTGGTGTATATTAGACCTTTGTGTGTTTAAGTTGTGGTATAATTGGAGTTTTGAGTGTCCGTTTATCGTTCTTGTTATTTGCCCGGAACATGTGATTAGGTTTGCAGGCTGATTTGTGAAAATTGTGAAACTTGATTGATACAAATTTGGTTCTCAAAACATGATTCAGTATTGCCGCTTAAAGGCTTATAACACGTAAATCGTTTTACTTATTGCAAATTGAATTTGAAAGAAATATTTTCAGAGATTTCATTGACCTTTAAAAATATATTGATATGTTTGCGAACCATTAAGCTTTGTTATCTACCGTATGATTCATTGTGGGACCATGACAAGTTGACGTTTGAGCATACTGCAGAAGTGAAAATTTTCCCGAAGTGAAAATGTTCGCGGTTTGAAACTACAAACTGATTGTGGTGTGCAAACTTTCGCGATTGTATAGGTTCTGAAACCTATACAATCAATACATCAATAATTTATATAATCCATGAATAAAATACCATGTGGATATTTTCTTGCTAATTTACTAAACGAGAGAAAACGGGGGCTATTCCACACCGCGAAAATGTCCACTTATATCACTGTATTTATATTTCTAGGACTTAATTATTCATACATTAATGCATTATTTGCTTGTTTACACCACAACATTGTTACTAGAGAGTGTAAAGCAATAACTGAAAATGCAAAGAAAATAAGCACATATTACAAATATAGCTTTTTAATGCAGAAAGCTAAACAATGTTAACATGTTTGCACCATATTGCTATTTCGTCCATTCAGAATCACCAGTAGTATCAAAGGTCAAAACTAGGAACATTTGAAAAGTAACCTATAAAACATACGTACAAATTTACGACATTTGACCACAACAGGTTATTTATTCGTTAGTTAGTTTTTGTCTCTCATTTAAACCGTGCCAGGATAAACGAAAACTATAAAGTTACAGCCAACCTCTAACACTGATACATGCAGTGTAGTAGCAGAATCAACCCCCTTTTTACGTTTAGCAATTAATAGAAATACGAATCAAGAAAGCACCTATTAACATTTTGTTGGTTGATATAGAAAACCAAACAAAGCAAGTCTTACTGAATGCTATAGCCATTTCGTCAACTAAGGACCCATTACTGTTAGTGAACTTCAAAATAATAATAAAATAATGTCTCAAGCGTAAGTCATTGTATATATTTGAGTTATGCAAATAACTAGTTTAAAAACACACTGTTTTCTTTCTTACAGATACGAAAACTTGGAATGAACAGAAGAGGCTACAAATACATACTTGGAACATTGGTAAGTGTTTTTTATCTAATATTATGAAATGATAAAACAACAGGAATAATTATTTCCTTTTTCCTGCTTCCTTAAAAATAAGTAAAAAGAAAACGTGTATATGTTTATCAAGAGCAGTAATATTAGTATCGAATAGTAATTCATAGTCATATGCGTTGCACTTTATTTTATATATTATGAAGAGGTATTCTGATACCAAAAGAAAAATAATGATACCAATAAAAAGTTCAAATGACTATTTGAACTTTCGAATTGATATTGTATGTCTTCATGTTTTTGCAATTAATAGGTGTTATAACGTCATATCATACATTTAATATATTTATCATCACATCATGTCTTCTTAAAAAATGAATGCGTTGTAGTACAAATTTAGACGTTGTGTCCCTGAACGTGATGTAATTACCAGTAAACGACAATGTGCTTTATTTGTAACAACAAAATTCGTTCTAGATGTTTCCGTAGCCGCACCATACTGGACAGCCATGGGTTCGAAAGTAATTGCCGTTTTACAGTAGCTATGTATAACTTTGTTTTGTTTCAATTTCAGAATATTTTGAATCTAAACCTGAAACGATTTACTCACGGCGGAGTTAATATTACGGGATTTCAGTTACTGGATTATTCCGCTCATAATGTAATGGAATTCCTATCAAGATGGCGTTCACTTCCGTCGAATATATGGCTAGGAGCTGGAAGAGAGCAACTATCTGTAAGTACTCCTTATATGGCTCTATAAACTTAATTGGTCATGCTTACATATTTATATTCAAACCGTTTTTTGTAAAATTCTTCAATGGTTAGGAAACGTGTAAAATATATTGATTGCATTTCTGGCAGCACCGTTTCTAGAACTAAAGATAAGAAATTATATTGTTTATTTTATTGGTTTCGAACGTAAAGTAAATCCACAAGTTTCACAAAATCTGAATACTGTATACTGGGTAATATTCGCTGCAGTTTAACTTTCGCCTTTTCGCCCACCACTGTGTGGGCGAATTCACTATTAGAGCGAACATTATCAAACAGTACAATGAACATAAGTATCAAATGCAAAGGGCGAAATCAACGTACAATGTAGGGCGAATATTGATTTTATCGGCGTAGGGCGAAAGTTTAACTTGAAAAAGTTTCCCGGTAGGCAGTATTTCTAATTAAGGAATTTAAGCGATAAATGAACGTTTCTAAGCTGAATATTTAGCAGTTCTTTGTGTTTATATCCTCGCAACAGTTAAAGTAATATAATGATAAGTAAAAAGTAGGAATTTTAGAAAGATTAAGGTAGAGGTCTCAAGTAGTGCAAAAGGGGCAGCAGTCAAGTTTGGTTTCTATAATGTGACTAGGTATCCGTAGCAGGTTAACGCTAGTCTCCTGATACGCTTACATGCAGCCGGATTCAGTTTGGTCTTTTTCCCCCGAATTTGCTGAAGAGGCTAACCTTCGAATCATTGTGTTTCCTTATAGTCACTTTAATAACTTTACACCGAATGGATGATATAGACAGCATGTACTTAATATAAAAACCTTTCATCCGGCCAAAGCCTTGACATTCGGAAAAAAACCCAGTTATGATTTGTATTCTACATCAGATTATCATTAGAGGCAATTAAAGTGTGGCCCCTTGCAGAACCGATAATTTTCCACTGTGTCTCCTGCTTTAAGGACATCGAATTAGCTAAAACTTATTTCTTTTCTCCCTTCACTACCCTTTCTTTTCTGCGGCCTCTTCCTCGAAATCTGTCTTCAGACGACATCCAATGTCGCTGGAGCGATATACCCAAACAAACAAATATCCGGCCTAAGTTTGCATTATGTATTATTGTAACGTTCACCTTTTCATATACTTACCAGGTGCCTATGCTAACCATGATGTAAAGATATTTCTATTTTTCCGGAATATCTCACCAGGTTGATGCTGCTTTAGCTGTGGATGCCGTAACGGTTGTGCAACGAACCATTCAATCCATGTTGAGGAATAATACCGAAGTATTCCGAACAACATTTCGTCGAGGAGACGTATATAACAATAATCGGACCAAAGGTATTCCGTGTAATGACGGAAATCCATGGATGCATGGAGACGCCATTATACATAACATCAAACAGGTACCATTTTCCTTTAACATAAACTTTTATCTATAAGACAGATGTTAACGTTTTAACTATGTTAGTTATTACAATTTATTGGGACACTTCATCCATGCTACTTAAATCTGTAGCTTCTTAATATTCCTTTATATACATGACCCCAGAACATAAGCACATATTTTTTGTTAATGACTATTGGCTATTTGCCATTGCTAAATGAATTTATAGACTCCAACAGATTAAGCATTTACCAGTTTTTTTTAAAGTAATACAGAATTTATGTATTATTCATTTAAAACCACAAAAAACGAAATTAATAACTCAATACTTAAGAACATACCGTAATACCAACAATTTATCCAAAGTACTTTAGGGCTATGAAACGCGCAACAATGTTGTATCTTTTAAATATAGTTATAATTTGGTGCACGATCGTTACTTTCACATGATGTTACAATACGTATGCAATTTGCACCTTTCAAGCTGTATCCGAAAAGTTTGCAAAACAAAATTCAATCTTCTAGGCCTATTCCTCGAAGTCGATCATATCGCCTGAATGTTAAATATATAATATGAATATTAGTAAAATAAACAGTGATAGCTTCTGTGGTTTACGTTTACGGTCCGGGTCTTCTTAACACCACAATCGTTAAAAGACTCCTATTTTAGTTTGTATTGAGAAAATAACATAATTGTAACTTGACCAAATGTTTTGCGACGTTCAGAAAAATTGCATACTGGGAATTTTTCGCCCCGTAAAATTTCCCCCCCTTTGCAAAAATAATACATATTTGGGCAGTGTTTATTTAGTCTTCACTTTTCATAACTATTCATAACATATTGAACAGCAAAATTAAGCATACACTTTTAAAATAAATAAAATGTTTCCAGACATAATGTTTATTAAAAAAACAATATTATATGGGTGAAATTGCAACATTGCCAGGTTTAGAAAATCAAAATATCACCATGTGGCGAACAATGCGTACAATTGGTTAACGATTAAGTGCCTTTTGAAGTGGTAACGACGACAACTCCCTGAAGCGAGACGTCGACGTGAAACGGCGCCATGTCAGGATCATTTTGGCTGGCGAAAAAGGCAAAAATCAAATAGCAGCGAACAATTCCCGGTATACAGTATTACAAAGAACCGCTCGTTTTAGACACCTCGAAATTGCGGAAAAATAAAACGCAGATTAAATTTTAAGAGAAAATGTGAATAAAACATGTTTAATGCAATCGATAAAGTGACATTTAAATGTGAATGTCAGGACCCAAGCTGATATATACGACCAGGGTATTATATAAAATATATATATATCTGTCTGGGGTAAAATAGGAGATTAAAATCGTTCGTTTTACTTCAAATTTCAAATGTCAAATTGCTATTGCGTCAATGATGTACCAGGGGGGAAATTGCATACAATATTAGATTATTTGAAAATATAAGGCGCTGGTTTAAAACGCTCGCATTGATCGTGTTTCCAGTAGTAGATCTGGTACAATTAGTTTTATAGAATGGATCAGACCTTGTCCAAAGCATACACCTTATCCCTGATCTCTGTGAAACAGGGACGCAGATCTAATCTTCCCCGTCTGAGGATGCCATAAGACCAAGTAATGTTCGGTAGATAAACTGTAATAAAGCACGTTCGGATCGACCTATTTATTGTTAGGTGATCAATCAGTCTTGAATTCTTAAGCAATTTCCATGTTTCATTTACAGATGCAGGTTTGACTTACTGCCTGGTGCAAAATATTTCAATGTATTTATTACAACATATTTGTATTAATATGTTTTAAACTAGCAATATCAGTAATAAACGGGACCATATCAAACTTCAATTGTTATTACAAAATCAGATATTTTTTTGTATAGATGTATTGTATTTTATATTACTTAGTATTGAGTCATATAACGCGGCTGTTACACGGAATCGACAAAATGCTTTATCAGGTTACAAGACAATATTTAAGATTTCCCAACATCGCCTTTCTAACACATAAAGGTGGAATAGTGAGAAAGTTAATTGACCACCATGTTAAGCCGTCGTCAGCACTCTGTGAGCGAGTTGGTATGCTTCCATAATTACAAAGTAAAAAAACAGTGCATATTAAACATGAAAAGATCATAGAGAGCGGCCATATTGCCGGTGCATATCGTTGTCATTGGGTCATGTGATCAATTATGATTATTTTGAATTACAGAGTTGATGTCGAATATTAATGTAAGATGATACAAAAAAAACCTGATCTTTTGTATATTTCCAGATTGATCCTAGGGGCTTAACAGGACACCTAGAATTCTCCAAAACAGGAATGCGTAAAGGTTACAAACTGGATGTGTTCAAAGTTGCCCTTAAACATGGACCCAATAAGGTTGGTATCGCATCATATTGTCAATGTCTAGCACTTGTATTTCAATCTGTTTGTTTTCTCAAAAAGAAATATTCAATTATCAAAGCAATGCTGGATAATAAATAGCATGTACAATATTGAGCTTTTGTCTACAGATGAAATAATCAAGACAATATTTGATCATAGTTAGCAAGCAAAGTATCGACATTTTGTCTACAAATATAAATAAATACACAACACACATTAGTTTTTCGTCTTGTGCCATCACTCACTACAATTCATTCATATTAGGAACGTATCGAAAGGATCCACATACGATCGCAACCTATTACATAGACGAAATACATCATCCATATTGGAATCAATTACCTTTGAACTATCGATGTACTCCGTATGAAACAAGATACATATACATTGTATATAACCTGATATTGACCGCCAATGACCATACCGGGTCTCTATAAACAAGTTGATGTGTTTGTTATCGTAGGTCATATATGAAAAATGTACTTGACCGTTATCTAGTTATAAAGTTCCCTCATAAAAAGGGAATTCGTCTGCTTGACAAAAACCGATGTGATGGCATCATTTGTAATTTGGCCAGCGTTTGATGTTTCCACGATAAACATAAAATTCCACATGTAGCTAGACCTTCCAGCTGACTGTAGCAATCGTTGGATATTAGTGACTTACAAAACAAACGAGAGGAGGGAGTAGTATAATTCGTACAAAGAATAATAAAGGCGTAACGGTACAATCTATTTTCGAGCTGATTTTATTGAATTGAAATAATAAACCATAAGCAGTTAATCCATTGGTTCAACCAAGCATGCCATTTTTGTTTTTTTTAAGATAAATAATTTTCCCAAAGCTTACTTTGCACGAAAATTGCGCTTTTTGGAAGACTTGTTTATAAGAAACTTAAGAAATTAAATACAGCATGGTTAAATAGTTAGGTTCTGTTAAAAATAGTATTGTTTTTGCATGGGTTAGAGTTAATGTTATTGAGATATGTCGGATATAAAAATAAGATATAAGATTACAATGTTGGTTTGTTTGTCTTTTTTATCATATAGATTGGGGTATGGAGACCACAAGAGGGGTTCCAGGTCATAACTCATGCGAACGAAACAAATAATGATACTACTTTCAGTGAAGAAATCATAAGGGTCACAAGTATACTGGTAGGTAACATCTACGTTCTAAAATCTCCCCTCTAAACACCTGCATAACAAAAATGTTTATACGCTTATGCTAATTCTCACGATTTAAAGCAAAAGCAGAGATAATGCTATTTTAAGCAACAAAAATAAAAGATAAAAGTTATAAAGTTTTATATTTTTTGTTATTAATCAGCTAGATAGGATGTGTCGTAACCTAGAGGATCTAAATAGGTTATTTTTCACTAGAGTACCGTCATTAGTTAGTGTTGTAATGTCTAAAAGTATAGCTTACATTTTACCCTCTAAATGATTCAGTATCTATTTAAGACGTTTGTAGTGATGTAGTTGTTTTATGATTTCTAATCTCTTACCAAATATATATATATACATTTTACCCTCTAAATGATTCAGTATCTATTTAAGACGTTTGTAGTGATGTAGTTGTTTTATGATTTCTAATTTCTTACCAACTATATATATACATTTTCACATAAATTGAGTGACTGTTAACTTGCGCATTATGAAGTTTGAAACAAACGTTACTTCAGCAATAGGACATATTACAGATAGCACATGCTGTAGATAGCTAATATTCCACGTAACTTCGACGTTCGTTTACATTCATGTTAAGTATCCCCATAGCAATGCCAAAAACTAACTATACTTTGGAACCATTTTTTCAACTTGCCTATAACTCTGATAAATCGTTCCTTTAAAGAACATTCTTAGGATTTTTTAAAAGATATTCAACTTGAAACAAAAACAATCAACGACGGTGGTCTTGATTTAAAACACAAAGGTATTAGATTATGATATTTTTTTACGCAACCAATTATAGATGAATATACTGCCAGTCCAACCAACTGAGCTTTCTGGTAAACGGAAATACCCTTTCCAAGTCGAGAAACAGTTTCATGAACATCCAATGACATAAAGGGAGGTTACTATACGTGCAACTACAGTGACATCCTTTAGTATTAAGCCTGCAGTGGCGCTAATCTAAGTCTTCCATAACAAAGTTAGACATTTAAGTGAATGAAACAGAAATGATTGTCTTTGAGAACAATTACAGTAAGGTTAGTTCGCAAAATTCATTGTAAATTATCTGCAGTACTTGTTATGATTATACGACAGTTAATCCATTATGTTTTAGTTAGAAAAGTCTATGGAAAAAATTCCATTCAAAGAGAATCCACGTTTATTGTTGTATGATAAATGAGTAGACGATGACCTTGACCTAAGTCATTATCGGGATTGTACGAAGTGATGACGTCTGCATCAATTCTAAACATGACGTGTTAATCAAGCTAATATTCTTATCAAGCATGAATGATAAACCTTTCCTGGAATCCATACAATTCCTTTCATCCATCAAACGTCATGACGTGTCTGTTTCTGGATGCTCGACTTACGTAATTATGATGGGAAATAGATGTCCATACATTTATCATTCACCCGATAAAGACCTCAGAAATTAAGGAGAGGAACAGTTATAACGCAAACGCCGCTATTTTTTACATAGAATGTTAAGGTATTGGAGAATTTTCCGCTTTTAATATACAGCATACTATCAGTTTCTTCTAAACAGACAGATACATTTAATCGCAATTATTCATAAAATGAATAATGTTAATTAATTGCGATATGTAAAACAGAACTACAATTATCAATTTCAATTTAAACACCTTTTCTCCTACGAAAATTTTGCTATGAAATAATAATCTATAAATATGTTTTTGCTCCAGAAAAGTTCTATTGTAGTATGTGGTCGTTGATGATGTCTTCATGGTATTAAGGGTATCCCTCTTACTTTTTAATGCAGGCCTAGAAATGGCATTAGTGGAGTTTTTTTCTATCTGATTTTGTATCGGCAGTTAAGTTAAGTAGGTATACATTTTAGTCTTATATTTTTTTCAAAATTTGAAATTTTGAGAAAAATATTCATACGAGTCAAAAGTTTCACAGATCTTACATAAAGGAGAACTATATTCAGGATCTTCGGTATATTACCAAGAATATACTTACGAAATGTATTATCTGTCAATCAACTGTTCAATGTTGCCAGTTTGTATTCATCTGTATTGTTTTTATGTGACGTCATGATTATTCCGTCGAATCGATGTGTGTTATTATACTCAGTTATATCATACATATGTAGTCACTGTATCTCGTGATAGTCATATGATATTTACATGCACGACCTCATTATGATGATTAGCTTTGAGATAACAATTCAAACCTTTTATACTCATTTAGAGATATCTATGTCATGTCAAACCAATGTAAAACAAATGCATTAAATATTGTATTAATCCATCTACATCGAAATTAAAACCTCCAGGAGAAACCATTTTTGATGCTTAAGGAAATCCCCAAAAACGGGGTACCACTTCTGGGAAACAACAAGTACGAAGGTAAGGGATATTTTATACACGCGTAATGAAAATAATTCTAGTTTGGAATCTTGAGACGTTGTCAAACCATTAAATTAAAAAAGCCGGAAACGATTAATTATAGAACCAAAATAATCAAGAATTTTACGATAATCTTTCGAGTTTCATTTAAAATACACATTTCAGGATTAATTAGAGCAGTAATTTAATGATTAAGTCATATCCAATATGTAAATATGATACCTAGGGCGAAATCAACACCTGATTAAAAACATTATAAAATTTTGGGAGAGGATTTAATTCTTTAACAAAGGGGTCAAAGACACTGCAAATGTAAGATTACGTTAATTGCATTGTTAAAGGTAGAATACTCCAAACCTCATCTGCTGTTTGATACATGTTGCAGTATACATTGTGTTGCTGCTTTATTATGTATAGTAACTAGCATTGTCAGCATATTATCATAGTTGAAAAACCCCGCCGATCTAAAATGATCGTACCTCGCCGAATTCAAGAATTAATAATATTAAATTGTTTCCTAAATTGCAGGGTACTGTGCAGACTTTATCTATTCTATTGCCAAAAAATGTGGCTTTAGCTACGAACTCCGACCAAATAAGGACGGGGTTTACGGAAGAAAATTCAAAAACGGTTCCTGGAATGGAATGATTGGGGAGCTGATTGCTAAGGTTGGCATTGTTTACTGTAGTTGAAAATATATTCTAAACTTCGTAGTTTTTGTTCATTTTAATTTCTATCTATTGAAAATATTTTTTCACATCGCTAATAAGTGATGATTCGTGTAGCATAAACTGCATTTTTTTCTTTTTTTTCATACCCATACCGTTGAGTCCAAAACTATTTTTTAAATGTGCCTGCAAACGACTTGTGGTTTTTTAATCTGCATATGTATTTGTCTTAGCAATAGACTTTAAATTTAAAACAGGATACCTTAATATCCGCCTCGGTCAAGATCATGTTCATATAACCACATATTCACCGCGACAACAGTCAATTATATGACATGAAGAAAGTTTCTCTCTTGTTATTATTCCAAAACTGATCAGTCGTACACTGTTTCATGTGTTCAAGCAGTATTCATGTAGTGTTCAACCATATTTAGAAAAATGACAATTTGAAAAGTCTGTATTTAAAACACCTTAAACTAATTCATTAGCATTTTTTCACGAGTTTCATCGCAAATCAAACAATTCCAATAATGTCATAACAAACTAGAGACCAGCACTCTTGTTCCTCAGGTCGGTGTTTTTTCTCCGAGTACTCTGGTTTTCTCCATCACTTAAACAAGGCATGTCCTTAAATGACCATAGCTGTTAATAGGGCGAAAAAAAACCCATAAACTTTACCAAATCAATCAAGTGATTGTGTACGTTTGATAACTGTTGAGTCAAAAGCATGTAAAGTGTTCATATATATTTACTTTTTACACGAGGGACAAGACCAATGTGCTGTTAATTGACAGCAAAGCATTCGCGATGCAATTGAGAGAGTCATGCATGTGATTTATATTTCTCCCTAACCTAACCTTTATAAACGAAGATAACTTACATATGGCCATTATTTTTTAACTTTTATTCGTGAATGGTGTCAAAGTGTTCATTTATCTTCACGAGGGGTTATGAAGTATCTATTCTAGGTGTCAATGATACAGGATTGTCTCATTAGCGGGTACCTGTCAATCATGTTGGTTGCTTGAAATGTCCGGTTGTACCTGTCTTGTTTGCCCTTGTGGAGTATAACTGACATTGTATGATCTTGAATTATTTTGAGTAGTATCCAGTGATATAACCTCTTTTAACGACTAAATATATATCACATAAGCATTTCAAACATGTTGTAGATCTTATTACGGTTTGAAAACGGCATTTTACTGTAAACATATTAATATTGATGTATTGATATTTTGACACTCAATGTCCTACACGAAGAAGACAGAAAAAAAATCTGCATATTACATAGATGTCGGGCATTTAAAACTCTGGTTGAAATATAATCTAGATAAACATTTTGAAATAGAAGATAGAACATATTTTCATGAATTGGAGAATATGTATTAATTTTCAATGTGTGTTACGTTTCACAGGCTGCTGATTTAGCTGCAGCACCACTTACCATAACGATGGAGCGCGAAGAAGCTGTGGACTTCTCTAAACCTTTCATGAATACTGGAATAAGTATTATGATTAAGAAACCAGAAAAACAGAAACCCGGAGTGTTTTCATTTATGAAGCCATTTTCAATATCACTATGGATGTGTATAGTTATTGGATATTTTGTAGTTAGTTTTGGAATCTTTTTAGTAAGTCGATTCAGCCCAACAGAATGGAAGAGAATACGAATGAGGTCTGGGACAGAATACCTTAATAAATTTACCTTAAAAAGTTCTCTGTGGTTTTCCATGGGATCACTTATGCTTCAGGGAAGCGACACCTGTCCAAGGTAAGCATCACACACAATTCAATATTATTAACACTTTATCTGTCATAGTTAATATTAAATGCTAATGCAGTGGTGGAAACCGAAATGTGATGTAGCCAATTATATCCCCAAGGAATAATGATTCCTTTTCATATATCTCCTACATGTCTTGGGTTTCATCAATTTATTTTGTTTGGCTTGCAGATAAGAGAATGTATTTTATATTATGTTATAGTTGTACTGCTTTTTATCATCGGGAATATGCATTTCACTTGTCTTATTTTGAAAATGCATGATTATTGCTTTTATAAATCATTCTGAAAATACGTTCCTTCTAGACCTTCTATAACAATGATAATAAAGATGAAATAAACATAATCAACAACAGTGTTAGGTGTATAACAAATCAGCGAGGCTAGATAATTATTCAACCCCTTCACTTCGGATTATTGCACTATTGCTGTTTCCAACCTAGCTTCCTAGTCGACGGTCGTATCCTGGTAAAGTTCTAGTACAGTTATACCCAAAACAAAATCAAAGGTTGGTGACTACTGTATGTACGAAAAACTACAGTGTAATTTTCTAATGGTTTGCCTGCTGTGGGACAGTGATAATTAATTACATATAAAAATTACATTTACGTCAAAATATACGATAGTAATCGTGACCGAAAATCCGTACAAAGGTAATAAAGAGCTGAAGAGACCAAAACAAAAGGAAAGAAATCTTAAAGTGCCATGAAACAAAACGGAGACAAAGCAAATGGAAGCGTTTTTTTCTGTGGCATCTGTCATGACATCTCCCGTCCTATCGGGAAAAATATCAGTTTACACTAGAAATATTTCATTCCGTAAGTAAACACGACTATAACAATCAGACAATACAAGAGGGATGAAAAAAAACAATCTGACTCTTTTCATAAAATTCATTAGGTCTCAAACGACTTAAGAATGTTGCTAACAATTCATTATATTATGGTACAACTGTATAACAAACTCGCTTTTCATATCCAAAACATATTCACAGTTCTCGTACAATAATAAACCTACAACGAGAACGGTTGGTTTTACGACATGTCACAATTGAATTTTAGTTGTAATGGTTGTTTTTATGTACAGGAATACCCGTACCGTTTCTGATTTATTTCATTTTGCGTGCAATATAAACAAGAGATTCCAGACGGATCTTGGCGCCCACCTTTGTACCATCTTCATTAGTTCTTTGTCAGTTCGATCTATTCTCTTCTTTCCTCTAATCTGTTTGATCGAGTCATGTTAACAGTAAATGCACCTTGAGGTAACTTTTGATCTAAACTTAATCCTGATGTGTATGAAAGCCAACCTTCAAAGTGAGTTTGTCATTTCACATATTTACTAGTACAGTACTTAATGTGAAAGAAATAGAATCGATCATTGCAATATGAGAAAGATCTGTTTAGTTCTTCTTTCAATCCATTTTGTTTTTATGATCAGTCTCAAAATATAACATGCACAACGAGAGACCAAGGGGAACCTTCATACACAATTTGAGAAAGATCCCTCTGGTACTTCTTGAGAAAAAGCGATAACAAACTTTTACTATAAAATCCAAGATGGCTGCCTGTCGGCCATGTTGTTTATCCGATCAGTCTCAAAAGATGCCCTGCACAACTTTGGACCAAGGGAAACCTACATACAAAATTTGAGAAAGATCCCTCTAGTAATTCTTGAGAAATAGCAAAAACAAGCTTTCACTATCAAAATCCAAGATGACTGCCTGTCGGCCATGTTGTTTATTCGATCAGTCTCAAAAGTTGCCCTGCACAACTGGACCAAGGGGAACCTACATATAAAATTTGAGAAAGATCCCTCTGTTACTTCTTGAGAAATACCGATAACAAAAATTGTTAAAGGGCGGACCACGGACGGACCACGGACGCATGGTGATTTGAATAGCCCACCATCAGATGATGGTGGGCTATAAAGCGAGCCTTATCGTTTCGTCGTCCCTCAGGTAGGGCGTAAGAATTGTACTTGCTTCCCCCATTGCATGATCGTAAGAGGCGACTAAATTTGGGATCTAATCTTTTCTCTCCTAAACAACTTTCTCCTTCCTAATGTCTCCCTTGACATGCCTCACTTTTGGCCTTTAGTTGAGCGTTCGCCCCTGTGAGGAAGGCTTTGTGTTCTGTCCCCTAGCCGAAAAATACCAGAGGTTGTAAAATGGTAGTTTCTACTCCTGCTTAACGTTTATCAATTTAGGAGTGGGACGACTGGTTCGCCCGTTGTCAGTATAATGTGACTGGGTTGGGTGTCCTGCTGGGTGTCTTCGGCAGTATGTTTCAGTTAGCTAGCACGATAAAGTCGGCATCAGTTCCGCGCTATCACGAGACAAACACGAACATATCACAGCCTCCCAATACACACACGCATATACTACACACATGCGTCTTGCATTCAGCGGGGCTGTCCTGAAATGACCAAAGCTGTTGATAGGAAGTTAAACAATACTAAACCAAACCATTATGGTTTCGTTGTTTCTTCCCCTACTCTTACTTTGTGAACATGACATTATTTGGATTTGACCTAGACGACGGGTGTCGTCTGTTGAATAGCAGACGTTTACAATTCTGGGACACCTTGTACTTTCTGAAGTCTTTTCTTTGGTCATGTTTGCCCTGCTTTCAGCATTGCTTTCTTCTCTAAAATAAGTTTTTAAATAGCTCATCTTGTATCCTTACGAAAAATGATCCTGTGCACTTCGGGACCCAATCATCTGAACTAACAGTAGCAACAGATTAGATACTGCACCAAAGCCTGGTATATTAAGCAATTTACTTAGAAGCCACACATTGACAGTCAACGGTTCAAGAGGATAAGTGGCAATAATTAATGAGATTTCTTTCCTTAATGTGAATTCACGTGCGAAAGGTCATGCTCTCGTACTTTTAAGGTACATGATGGTCTTTAATTTAATCGTTCAGAGCCCTGTTATTTCTGAACAACACGCAAGTCTGGGAATTGTACCAATTTCCGGATTTATCATGCATTAGTCTAACCACTTTCCAAATATATATTAGCTTAAAGCAAATGTTAAGTAATCGATCTTTAACAAAATTGTAACAGGCATTTTGCCAAATATACCTGCTTTTGTAAAGTTTAAATCAATAATACATAAAAGTACCCATTTGTACATCACACGAATGTACAAATGTACACGAGAACTAATTATTGCTTTTGTGAACTGATACTAAAAGGCTATCGAGTTGCATCTGCACTGTTCTTTTCCTTTGGAGACCAGGCTATTAATGATTCAACGAGGACTTAGCGTTAATTGAGTAATTAAATCAGTACTTTCATCGTTAAGATGCTTCTTCGTTGGCAAGTGTAATGGCAAATGTTTCCCCATTGTTATTTCTTCTCGCATAAATGCCTTACTTTAACGTTTTCTTCAAATACTCCTATCCTAGAGAATCATGTATACATTGGAATCAGTAGAAGAATATTATCGATATTTTTCTAGTATTAAAGAATAAATTTAAAAATTTCATACTTTTCTGGAGCTAATTGGTGCCACATGACGTCACTACAGGTTTCAGATGAGAAAAGGCAACATTTGTTTGTTTGTTTGTTTGATTTTGTTTAACGTCCTATTAACAGCTAAGGTCATTTAAGGACGGCCTCCCCTGTGTGCAAGATGCATGCGTGTAGTGTGTGTGTAATTGGGAGGCTGAGATATGTTCGTGTTTGTCTCCTTGTGATAGCGCGGAACTGATGCCGACTTTATAGTGCTACCTCACTGAAACATACTGCCGAAGACACCCAGCAGGACGCCCCACAAGGTCACATTATACTGACAATGGGTGAACCAATCGTCCCACTCCTAATTTGCTGAGCGTTAAACAGGAGTAGAAACTACCATTTTTAAAGACTTTGGTATGTCTCGGCCAGGGGACAGAACCCAAAGCCTTCCTCACATGGGCGAGCGCTCAACAAATGGCCAAAAGTGAGGCATTGTCAAGGGAGACATTAGGAAGAGGAAAGTTATTTAGAAAGGAGAGAAGAGATAAGGTCCCAAATTTAGTCGCCTCTTACGATCCTGCCATTGGGGGTAGCAGGTACAATTCTTACGCCCTACCTGCAGGGAAGCACATAAACGCATTTAAAAATACTAAGAAAATCCATTCTTGCTAGCCTAAAGGATAAACGTAATGTACTTCATTACTGGGCATCGTATCTATAATAATACACACATATACAATCTTATATACAATACTGTCTCGAAGACAAATATATTTGTAGAAATATCTTTTCGTATATTTTGAAGGGTCCAATGCTGGTCTCCTGAAGCCATGGTATATGTTGTCTATATTTGTACAGCCTTTATATCAAAGAATATAAAACATTTCAAAGTTTAACTTTTATTTATATACATTTGTATGGGGACCAATCTCTGGATAATCAATATTTCCATTTTTTCAATTTTCTTTCAAATGAAATATACGATAAAATTAGTATGACCAGCAGAAATAGTATAAGGATTAGCCTAAAAAGCAATTTACTGTTCACTTTGTTACCAAGCTAATGAATCAGAAAGCTACAGATTGACAAGAAAAATATCCTAAGCAGTACTTCGTTTTGTTTCATTGAACGAGCTATATACGTGTTCTGACTGTTCCATCCATCGTAGTTGTTTAAACTATGTACTAATAGGCGTTTCTAGTTAGATTGTTGTCTTCGGTTCTTTCTTTTACGGAATACGAATTCCACCAATCTACGTGTCCAGACATACCTAAGTCGACAAAATGAATGTTTTATATACACTTAAGGTACATTCCCTATCTGCACTTGACTGATTACAGGCTCAAAGAAATTACAATTTACGTGTTAACACATTTTCGCTTGTTTGATTAATCAAATGAGTACATGTAAGGTTTCTTGGAGAATCTTGGCAGATAATTGGTTTATACATATATTACGAAGTTGAATGGTTGCCCCATGAGCCATGTGAAAGAAAAATCAATTTCAGGTCAAAATTACAGATACCGAATCTTGTATAGACCAGAGAAAAATGAATTGACTGATTTGGTGGATTACGTTATCAATGGAAGTGTCATCTCCTGAGACAGAAATGTCAAAATTAAACTGTATTACTATCTATTCATAGTATATCACGCATCAGTTCAACAAGAAGTCTCTTCGAGGTGATGTAACTATCCATGTATATTACACGTATTCGATTGTTTACTTGCGATTTTGATTTCATCATTGCAATATAACGCGTCAAATGGAATGAAATTTCAGCAATGACACGATTTGAAAGGGCTCGCTAACGGGAAATCATGTGACAATGCAGAAAATCGATAACCGCCGTTATCTTTCAATTGGCAAGGAAATGATGGGCAGTAAAGTTTAAATGCTAGCATTCCAATTAAGGTCGATTTTCAATTGCTCTTTAAGCTCGGCACACAATCTGTGTCGTAAAGCACTGAGATTGGGGTGATGTTTTGTTCATATTCCTACGGGTACGTATAGCATGAATATTTTCCTTTCAAACAAATACCTCTTAAAAGGATTGGATAATCATATAGTACACGTATCCCCTATAGCTCTCACAAAGCAACTTAAATTACAATAATTGTGTGAAATAAATTTTTGCAATGTACACAGCAGTTAAAATCGCGTTTTATACAATTGTTTTAAATAGCAATAAGGAAATACCGAACCGAACTCAAAATCGATCAAACTAGGGCGGATTTACTAGGAAATTTTTGAAAATATTCTAGGAGCTAAAGACCGCGTGTTCCGGAAGGAGTACCGCTGTGTAAATATAAACTTTTGTTATATTTATACAATGTCATCAAACTTTGAGACATGTATAATACTATCCGTGAACGTTGACGTTGGGGGCGTGAAACCTAGGAAGCCGGATATTTTTTCAGAAAAAAAAATGCCACGATTTAAAAGAAAGTTCAACTGATTTCATTGGTTAGTCATTAAGCATTTTTTATTGTTTAGTCATAGTTATATGAACGATTTTCAGTAACGCTGACAAATTAACGTTATCGATACCATATTTATCACAAAGAGACAAGAATTAAGACATGAACGTGAGAGTATGAAACATCAGCAGAATCAATACTATTCAGGACATATTCCGTGACGTGACTCGAACCCGCAACCCTTCGGTCAGGAGCCCGGCGTCCTACCCCTAGACTATCGTGCCTCCTAAATAAAGAGCATGTCTTAGATAAACATAGGTAGTGGATTCATCCTGCTCAATACACCTACACATATATATATTTTAAAACTACATTAGAAGAATAACACTTATTTCAAAAAACGATTTCCCTTGATTTGGAACTTGCGAAACCCATAGTTACCACATCAAAAAACACCAAAAATTGCCAAAAGCATTAGTTTTAACACAACATTTTACCCCTGCAAACAGCATTTTATTTCTTGAAAACTACCTTAAACCAAATATCACCTACTCGGTAACAAAGATACTCACGTTTTAGCATAGGTCATTCAGATGGATTTTTCACAATATTTACACATGTGCTGATTACCAAAAAAAGACTACATGAAATGCTAGCTGTTGATGTGTAGACACAGATTCGTAAATTGCCAAAACTGTAGTCTCGAACCAAATTAATTTTTTTTCTCTTGGAAAATTATGAAGCTCACATAGTCCATCATACATATATCAATTTTAGTACTGATTTTTTTTATTAAACTTTTGATACGTGTAATAATACATGGGTTACTCATTGTACAAAAAGATCACCCATGGCCACCGTACGCTACTGTACACTGCTACCATACGTTTAAAACGTAGCTGAATTTACATGTCGATTTGATCGTCATTTCGTTCATGCATACCTGTAATAACTAAATGTACATACGCTTATAGCGTAGCCGAATCGACAGTTATTTGATTTTTGACCATTCCATTTGGACTACTGATCGTTTGCCTGATGAAGGTGACAGCGTACATGTCGTAAACTGAAATTTCACTAGTATATATAAATACTTTCTGGTTGTGATATATAAACTTCCATAATATTGCTTTCGGATAATTATCCTCTAAATGCATATTTCATAAATTACTTTCTTTTATTATAATACTTTTTCCTCTGTCGAACATTGTTCCAATGACTGTTTTTGTATATCGTCCCTTTTCAAAATTTGTCATTTTTACTTTGGAGTGTTCCAATTATTTCGTTGTCCTGCATTGATAATTGTTTTTCGTCTGTTTGATAAAGATCTGCCGCCGGTCGGATTATAGGAGGGACCTGGTGGCTAGCTGTGCTTATTGTGATATCGTCCTACACCGCTAACCTAGCAGCTTTTCTTACTATAGAACGCCTACTAACACCTATATCGTCCGCAGATGACCTGGCAAATCATCCGGATATGTCGTACGGTACATTGGAATCAGGTTCCACTCAAGACTTCTTTAAAGTAAGTCGTTCAAATAAGCCAACCATACGTTACCTGATGATGATAAATCAAAAATATTATGTACATTTTTTGAATAAGGAGCTTTGATGACCGTTATGTCGTAAATATGAAATGTATTTAAATTGTCACCATATCAAGGGACATTTTCACGATTTGAGTCATAAATTTCATGTGACACCCCCACAATGTTTCTGATATTTAGCTTATATACTTGCATTTACATCAAGTTCGAGTTTCTTACATCTGATCATATACTTTAAGGACAACATGTTTTATTGAATATGAACTAATCTGATTAATTGGCAGCTATTATCATTAGATATTAATAGTGTGTTTTTTCACTCAATGCCGTGTTGTATTTTCAATATATTTCTTATCCAATACATCAAATATCTATAAAATTGATATGTTTGTCATAATTCCAATGCACCCTAGATATGTTAACTGTTTCTAGTTTTTACTTTGCAGCATATATTAACACTTTTGTTTTAAACGTAAACTGCTGTGTTATAAAATCTAACGCAAGAAACACCAATTTTAGGTGTGAATTGGACAAAATTGAATAACAAGAGAGGGATAGAGAGAAAACCCAAGAACTAACACAAACAAACAAAATTGCAAAATATGAACAAATAACAGATTAACACGGAGAGCTTTAAGAACATGTAAGGAGAATAAGAGCTGGTTTTCTGATTAGTAATCTTTCGCTTCATCAACACTACCCGCCATGTAAATTTAGGTCCAATTCAAGAAATGCTACGTCCTAGAAAAGATAACCGGACTACAAGGCCTTTTAAGGATCAACATTTTTTTTTTTAAATCGTCTTTCAAATATAAAACACCAATATAGCAAGTAATATTGAACGAAATATTAGAAGAAAATCATTATACCTGGAAATTTAATCATTATTATTCAAATTTATTAGATCAAAGATAAACAAGTATTTAAATAAGTTGAAAAATCAAGCGATTGGTATAACGCTTCTATTACAATATAATTAAAGTGAACATTGATTCAGGCTTGAGGTTTGCATTTTTGTACAGTTTTGTTTTGCTTTGTTAATAATGACATTAGATACTATAGAGAACTAATTTGTTATTCTTTTGTCATTTGTAGAAATCCAATGTACATACATACAAGATAATGTGGAGCTTTATGAAGAGTCATTATCCATCTGTGTTTGTGTCGACTTCAGCAGAAGGTGTAAGGCGTGTTCGTAGTTCTAAAGGGAATTATGCTTTTCTTATGGAGTCTGTGTACAACGAATACTTTATGAACCAGGAACCGTGTGATACAATGCAAGTTGCACCAAATCTCAATTCCAAAGGCTACGGTGTAGCCACACCGAAAGGTTCCAAATTAAGGTAATGTATGAAAAAGGTTGAAACAGTATTTTTGTATTGAAAAATCCGTACATGTAGCTCGTAATTTTTTCCTGGATTAGAATATTCCAGGCGTAGAGATTATGAAAATAATTAAAAATTAAGTTCAGAGTAGAATGTTGCCGTAGTTTCGTGTCAAAATGAACTTTTTAAAATGTGTATGTTCACATTTTGTCAATATGGACCCATTTTTACAAAATAGAAACATGTATTTTAGTGAAATTTAAATTTCTAGATAAAGTCGGACTGTTTATTGGTTCTTGGGTTAGGTTTCTTAGCTCTTCCTGCTGGTGAAAACGGGGAAAAGGTTCTTGTTTTTCGAAGTTGTTTAGGAAATCCAGTGCTGATTTAATGAACTTGGATTGTATTTTAGGAAAATTATTTACATTCTGTATGCTTGGACTCATTGACGAAAATTATATTAAAATTTGCATAACACAGGTGACCTCATCACTGCGTATTGATTCATTTCAAACGTAGCACAGGCCGTATATGGTTCCCGTCCGGAACCATGAAAAAAAGTAGATATTCTATTTACATTTTCCGCCTAAACACCCCGTTCTCTGAACTGTGATGTCCCCATGTATTAACAGGTGAAAATAACCTTGTTTCTTTTTTATTTATGCTTACTTTGGATATTTCAATGCATTTTAAAATGTAAATGTCAGGAACGGAATCCATGTTTTCAGCATTCATAACAACATAGTCTTCCTGGAAATATATACCATGAATTGCTAATTTTGATTCCTATATATAAATAGCTGTACAGTAGTTCTTCTGTTTCTTATGCGTTGGTATCGGATTATTGTTCTAGTGGTCTACTCTGCGGGCCTCAGATAAGACCTAGTTGAAAATCTTGGTTCAAATCTGCCTTCATTCCCCGCATGCTACTGGCAAAATGCCAAAACCCTCAGCTCTTTGTCATTCAGATGGAGTTATTGAAATTCTTTACAAATATCATCCCCCAAGGTTTTTCATCAGGTGGTAATTTTAAAGTTTTGAAAAACTTGGCCCCCATGATATAGACAGTGGTTAGATATCGTTACCATATTTTTTCTGGGTTATGTAGAACCTCTGTTGTCCTCGTAAGTAGGCCAAGGTAATTCAGTTGAACAAACCTGGTTGTCCTTTAAACCAACTTGCTTTATCATCACCCGAGGCCACTTGGTTTAACAAATTCGACCCTTGTGACCTTGAAAGTCGATCAAAATTACTCATTAAAACATTTCTTACATCGCCTATATTGCACTTCAGTGTATCCCAGTCTTTAAGATTCTTAAATATTCTCTGGAAACGAAACAGACGGAAACTGACGCAGCCTTATTTTCGATACAAGACGCACACACAATGTTATGCACGGTAGTCTAGTGGTAGGACGCCGGGCTCGTGACCGAAGGGTTACGTGTTCGAGCCACGGCACGGCACTGTGAGCAAGATACTTTACTCCGCTTGTTGCAGTCTACTCAGCTGAAAATGAGTACGAGGTTGGGCAGTGCAAGAATTGTTGAATGCTAGCTGTTAGCGCCGAAATGGCAGCTCCAGCTATATTGGCTGGTTGCAAAGGCCCTATAACCACGGATAATAATTTGTGAACCTCTTTGAGACGACCTGCGAACTAGATAGTTATAAAGCGGTATATAAGAATCACGAATTATTATCATTATTTGTCATAGTTATGCTTTTAAGTGGAATATTTAAGTTTTATGATTAATTATTCTCATATGGGGTGATATTACTCTTTTTTTAACTTAAATTAATCTTCCTTCGTTGAATTGTTTCGCTCATAGTTTTCATTAAGCTGACTGCTGACATGTGTAGCATCCTTCCTAGTACCTGTCGCTTGAAGGTCATTGCAGTGATTTACAATATAGGATGAATGCCCATTGTCTGCCTTTTTTTTAAGATTGATAACCTAAACTGGAAAGTTTCAAATACAACAATTGACAAATATGTGTGGTGTCAATTTTAATTTTAAAAAATGCGGTTGTCAAATACGTCTGATATAGCTGGTGTTTATCTGTCATCCATTTTTATACAGTTCTGTGATATACCGATTTACTATACTGTACAACATCTTTGAAAAATCGTCATAGTTTAATTATACATGATAGAGCATGCATCCTCATTTTTGTAGAAAGGCTTTGACTAAATCATTCAAATTGACAATAATGTTAACACAATGACCTTGAATGGGAGGGGAGATGCGGAGTACAACACATCTTAACTGATCATTAATGTAATGGATGGGTGCCCTTCCCTGCTTCGTTTTTACTTCCGCAAAGGCAGTGTCTATCAGACTACATGTGTACAGGTAGTGATTATTGGCGGAGGTGTCCATGGCTGTCAAGGAAAATTACTATGACAAATCTTGGTGCCGAGGATCAATAGCGAACCAATACGTTCAAATTGTCCCTCGTTTAAGGCATAGCACCAGTGACAATGGATGACGAACTGTGGAGAGAATATGATCGATGTTGGAGCTTAGCACCGTGAGACGATGCGTCCCCTGAGGGGATCGCCGATGAATCCTGACCGTATTCGTTAAACCTTGCCGTAATTCACAATCCATCACTTTTCCTGCAAACGTTCCCATTCTAAAGACGAATTGGGTCTCTGGAGAGGTTTCCTGTCCCATATTTTGTAGAAATGTGGCAGCAGTGTTCAATTTGCTAACCTTTCTGACTTTATGTACACATAATGGCTGAACCAGTTAGCATTAATTCGTTCCAGTCCGAAACTTTAGCGTAAGCTTAACCAAAATGTGTCGAATTGATTCCCCCTAATTTAATTTGATATCACATATTTTTATTCCTGGCATGGTGTATAACATGACAATTGATACGTTTCTAATGCTAATTCTTTATAAAACTGTCATATCTGTAGAAGGTTTATATTATGTCAGATAAGTTAACATACATACGACTCCAGATTCTGACTTGGCTAACAAAAGAACAAAAGATATTATGACGTTACATTAGCGATAATATATACGTGTACTACGACGACAGAAATTATGGGGGGCCGCGGTAGCAAGGTTGTTAAGCCGTCTGACAATCTGCTAGCACTAGCCCTCCACCACTGTGTCGCACGTTCGAGGCCTACGTTGGGCAGTTGCCAGGTACTGTCCGTAGGTCGGGGTTTTTTTCCGGAACTCCGGCTTTCCTCCACCACCAAAACCTGACACGTCCTTAACTGACCATAGCTGTTAATAAGACGTTAAAAATAAAAACAAACGAACCAAAACAAATTAAGGTGACGTAGAAATTTAATACGCCCGTCAAATTTGACGGAAGTATTATGGTATGGGTCCGTCCTGCCGGCGTAAACTTTTGTTTGTCCGGCAATCTCCTCCTACATTCTCCGACCAATCTCTTTGAAACTTGGTATACATTAAAATCATGATATGAAATTGTGTCTTCCTAAAAACAATTGATTCGACAATTTTTCAAAAATCTATTGCCTTTTGTTCATTTCAGTATTTTATTTTTTGTCCGGAGATCTCCTCCTACATTTTTTGATGGATTTCTTCGAAATTAATAGGCTAAATAATCATGATATGTTGTTGTGTTTCCTTGAAAAGAATTTTGATTCAACATTTTTTGCAAAAGTTATTGCCCTTTATTTATTTCAGTATTTGATTTTTGTCCGGCAATCTCCTCCTACATTTTCAACGGATCTCTTTGAAACTTTGTAAACATTTGATTCATGATATGAAGTTGTGGCCCCCTGATAAGAATTTTGGTTCGGCGATTTTAGCAAAAGTAATTGCCCTTTGTTCATTTCAGTATTTTATGTTTTGTCCGGAGATTTTCTTCTAAAATTTTTATAGCATGTCAGCTAACCACTCTTAGAATGATGCAGATCTTATTTCAATGTAAGAAAGTATATAACACTATATGGCATTCGACGGGCGTAAATTGTTCCGCCCCGCGGTACTCTTGTTTATGTCAACGTCGACATATCTAGTGCTGTAACGCTCCAAACAATCTACCTACCACTGGGTGAAGTGTTATCGACATTTTGTTGACATGATATGCTTACCAACATTGGTCAATGCACCAGGAGCAAAAAAAAACGTAGTAAAATAATCATTTGAACTACAAATTAAGGAAACACTTAATTAAAAAGTTAGTTTGTTGATGTAGAAATTGAAGACTTATAAAGTAAATAGTCACTGCACAACAAGACCTTTAAATTCGTTTATTTAGGTCTCGAAACATATGCGGAAATACACCAGAACGAAGTGCTTATTAAACCTAATTACGCTAATAGCATATAACTTATTCTTAAACAGTTCATAGAAGACATATTTTTAGGCAATGCATTTAGAGATTTTACTTTGTTGAAACTACCCATTTGAATGTCTGTTTTTCATCCCTTTGATAATAACAAGTTGTGTGAAACATAATCCTAAATATAACAAATCTCTGCGAAGATATTGTGTGGTATACATTGTATTTGTATTTTAATATATTTCAGAGGAGACTAAACGAATGAAACTTAAACAGAAAACATAATTTATACAATCTGTATAATTTGGCTATATCTCAGCTCAGTCTTTTATCATCTATGGCAGGCAAAAGCTGTCTATCGCAGTGCTACAACTAATTGAAGATGGAACATTGATAAAGTTAAAGAAAAAATGGTGGGTAGACAAAGGAACTTGTGGAGCGGCAGGTTCTCACGGGGTACGTGTGTTTTTTTGCACAGTTTGTTTCATTCTCTACCATTTTATAACACTTGAGTTTAAATTCAATATAGGTTTGTTGGTCGTTCTGAAAAGGTACAAAAAACAAACTTCCTTAAGGTAACTGCAACAAACAGAATTCATTAATCTTAATAATATATTATGTATTTATGAAGAAATCTTTGTCATAGTATAGTATTAACGTTTGGTATTTCCGCTATCAGTTGATTAAGGCTATTGTTCTTATCATCTCTTTATCTTTTTTCCTAAGGGATCCAAAAAGAAGTCGCTTTCTTTAAGCAATGTTGCTGGTGTTTTCTTTATCCTCATTGGCGGTCTGGTCTCGGCGATAGTTCTTGGTGTAACAAATTTTCTACGATCTAAATCTAAAGGAAAACTAGGCGTAAGTAATTTGCAATCATTACAACGGCTTCAGCATCAGTCGTATACGTTTGCACACTATTCACATCAATAAAGTTATATTTCTCACGCATTCCGATGATGTATATTTTATCGTTGAACTTGATGTTACTGATTGACCGACGGTCTACCAAATCTTCGTTTAAGTTTATTTGGAATTAGGAGCGAATTTGTCGGTTCGCCCTGTTTTGTTACGTTTTTATCCGGAAACGAAATTAAACTGAATAATGTAACGAACTGAAATTGTATAAATACTCTGTGGTTGATCTAAGAGTGTTCAGTATTGTGTGACTCATCAGAACTTTACCCCTTGAATGCTAATTGGCTTTAAAAGTCATACTGGAGGTCAACATGTTAAAAGAATATCCGTGTAGCAATGATCTCCATCATCTTTGGACCTAGTTAGAGTAATATAAACGAGGGTCGTTTCTATTATAATTGATATGGTAATTTTGAGAACAATATTGAAAATCCTTGAAACTTTTCATCAGATTTAAAACTGTATTTCATATCTCTCATCTCAATGGACAATCAATACATTTTTTAAAAGATTATAGTTTTGACGACAACAGTTCCACCTCAGAGTTGGAATGCTCTAAAAAAATCTTCACTGCCTACAAAATCGATGTTAAACATTATATCAATATCGTAATAATCATTCTAAATATAATTGTTTATATTATAATCAGTTTTCAGTATTTTAAAGTTAACACCTAAAAAAGTGTATTATTTCACACAATGGAAGTTTTAAATGTATCTCATTGTATTGACAGGGTGTCCCCCCAATTAACAATGACGCCGCGAGATCACTTTTATCGGACTACAGGGATGCCCCATTAAACAACGAAAACGGACAAACAGCAACACCTGATATCCACCAGTCAGTTCCAGTGAAAGGTGTAAGTATACGACATTTTTTAAAAGGAATAATATATGCATGGTGATCAGTTAGTTGTTGATAGTTTATAAAAACAAATTTACTCAGTGATAATGTAGATAGTTTCCAATTATCAAATATCAACTCACAGAAAATGCTTTCTATTCGTTTACTTATATGATGTAAGCTTGATTTACATTCTGTTTAAAATGAAGGTGATATTATTGAAGAAAAAAATGATAAAATTAAAAATGTTTGTCTGCAATCATGTTCAGAATTACCGTATTATAAATATGGATGAAATACAATGTAATACATATATTAATATTTTTTGTCGATTTCGACAATCAGTTGGCTCTGAAATTCCGTAATTGTTCATCAATTCTGAGGTAGGTTTCCAATAAATTTCATAACGTTTCCAGAACTATGCCATCGCATAGCTTATGACGTCAGAGTAATAGTTTCATAATTATTTCTCAGCTCAGGTGACGTTGGTAGGTTGATATAATGTAATGTAGAAACATGTGAATATATACCACATGTATAACATGTACATGTAAAATGCTAACTTCAAAGGGATGTTTATGGAGGATTTTGATCCTCAATGTTATTTTGAATCAAACGTAATAGAATAAATATAATCAACCGTCGATCACTATGCATCAACGTTATCGTTATACATTTCATTTTTTATTTCAGATTTTAATGAACACATGCAAACTACATACAGGAGAGAATAGCAACAATTCGAATCACACTATTCGGTCAGAATTTTACGGAAACATTTATGACAGGAAATCACTTCATGATCGTTAGACATTTTTGAACATTATTTTTTTTTAATTTGTGCAATTAAAAAACAAATAAATTTTATATTAAATATATTTTTAGAAAGTTGTTCAGAGTTTTTTGTTGATGCAGTTTAACCAAATAACCAATGTAAAAATATTTGCTTTGTTGTATATATCATAACTATACTTTTGACTGTGTATCGCTAAGTAGCCGTCTTTAATAAACTACGAGCAAAATATAGGATACAGTGACACCTTCAACTGTTATAAAACCTGCATTGCGTTCATATCAATATACGTACAGAGGGCATTCTTAATGATAAATTTAGACAGTTTTCATTACTAGAAATCAAACAAAAAATGCAACATCAAGTAATATGACAACACGATGGGGACAGCACTATGACCTTCAGTGTACTCTGGGTTTGTGTCATGAGTCATTTTAGATATACTCTCTACCTATTTCATATGAAAAAAAATTGTGTGTGTTTTGAATATTGAAATTTAAATTGTTGTCTAAATATAGGTTTGATATGTTAACTACAAGTATTAAAACATAAAACAGTGTTGTTAAGTCTTTACCAGTTCGTAATTATTAATTAGTGAAAATGACTTATAAAAAGGGAAAAGCTACAATTGTATATCTTTCTTTACGAATATTAGATGATACTCCGTACTAATTTCCATACTCTCGTCAGAATACATCCTCGACATTTAAGGACTACGCGCGCTGACGTTTTTTGCCCAACTTGAATATGTCATAGCAAAACCTGAAACTACGTCGCCTTCTTGACGATACAAGCAGTCTAGTCTCCTTTGATGCACATCAAAAGAATCGTCGGACATCATAACGGTGATATTTAATGGCTTAAAAGTCAGGTGTCGCTCCTCTGTATCTTCAGAGGACGGGTATCAACCTAGTGATTGGAAACTATTTTATAAGACTTATCAAATATTTATATTCGTGCCTTCAATTTTGCTATGACATAGTCCAGGGGTGCGGAGATCGTAGGTGAGCGTAAACCCTGGAGTATCGATGATGGCCAAAATCACACGCACACACTTTAAAGATTTCTACATACACAGGTCTGTCAATATACCTACATTTACACTTTGATGGCTGCTATTGGAGTCACTGCGAACTAAATGGTGAACTGTAATTTGCCCTGTCTGTAAAATTAGTAAGTAATGTTTGGTTGACACATTTTTATCGGTAATGTAGATAAATAAATGTAAGAAAAAAAGTTCTCTGCAGCTTGCGGTACGCCTCCAAGGCTACAGGGAGAATTGCAATGTGTCCAAAAATAAACCAGCAAATGTGTTTAAATGGGTTTAATTAAACCATTGTCTTTAGTGACGCTGACTATATAAAAATAAGAAAAATCCAAATGTGATATCAAAGTTTTACATTCTACACAAACAATGTACGTTGTGCAATGTGGTCCCTTGGTCAAGCTATGACTGAGTGATCAATTTGTATTTTGTACCTGTACAACGATGGGACGAAATTGTATATTTTTTATGTCACTCTACCTGAGAGTTTCGCAAATTGATGGGGAGCGTGTACACACTGCATCAGATGGGTTATATATATGGTGTAGATCTAGCTCCCTCCCCTGTTATATCAGTATCGGGTCATACAGATGGATCAGCTGGTGTCCTTCTCGTCTCTGTTCATGTTAAGAGTTATCCTGATTTTGATTGCTGCTTTGATTTGTTTCGTTTTTGTGGGTTGTTACCTTTTAATAATCCTTGCATTTTCCAAATCGACGATGTGATTAGGTGTTAGCGTGATCTGTTAATGCCGATTTGTTGTACTGGGTGGAGGTTGTTTTGCGTGTGAATCTGGTAAATGTGATGTTGCTATATTTCTCTACGTGCTTTTGATGTTCCTTCAGACGAGTACCAAATTTCCCCCCCCCCCCCCCCAATTTTTGCACGGAATTTGATATACTACTCCTATTTTGTCTAAAATGTTAATCTTGTCTTTAGGATGCACCAGTACCTGTCTGAGTATTGTCAGTGATCTCATCGGGGTGCTGAAACGGTGTTTCCTCATCATCCAGGCAAACCTCTCAGATGTCCCCTTCACGCAGGGTAAAGTGACCCAGCCTTTGCATTTAGATAAGCTTTCATTTCTTTTCTTCTGTCTCGGTTTTCTATTTTCTGCCTTTTTTACAGCTCTTTTCACATTGTTGATTGACCAGTCAGGGTAGCCACAACGGTTGAGTGCGTCTTTTATGTGCTGTTCTTCCTTGTGTCTATCGTCCTGCTCTGTGATGATGTTGTTGAATCTGTCAAGGAGCGTACGTACGACTCCAAGCTTTTGGTGTAGTGGATGGTGGAAACCGAAGGCCAAATATTAAGTGTTTGTCGGTCTGCGGTACACTAATATTTTGATGGTGCCAGGGTTTTTTTTTGCGGACGATGAGCGTGTCCAAGAATGATACGGTACCGTCCTTTTCCTCCTCGTGGGTAAATTTAATAGAATTTGGCCCTGCACTGCTAGCTTTTTGAATATTTCTAGTATGCAATCGACATATTGGTTCCAAAGTATGTGGCCGCATTCCATGGGTGCCGATCTAAAGGCGGTCAGCTCTAGGTGTTCCATGAACAAATTCGCGACTATGGGTGATACAGGACTTCCCATAGCAATACCGTATTTCTGTTGGTACACCTGAGCTCTGAACACGAAGTATGTCGTCTCCGTTACAAATGTAAGTAGTTCGATGATGTTGTCTACTGACAGTTTTTTTTTTTCTTCTGGGGTGTCTTTTCTGCTGATAATCTCTCTCTCTGGTGATATTGATGGTTTTTTGTACTGGTATGTTTGTCAACAGTGAAACCACCTCGTGGGAGTTGAAAATGTCCTGTTCTTCAATAATGACATGTGACATGGCGTGACAGTTTATAACCAATCGACCCATTGTAGTCCACTATAGGAGCAACAGGTAGCTTGGTTTATGGATGTTGGGCGTGCAATGCAATCTAGGGATGTTTTCTGATGTCGAGTATTTAAACCTGTGTTGCTGATCTGTGATGCGTGAATCATCTCTTATTTTGGCAAGAGGTTCTATCATATGCTCCCTATCGATAGGCGAATTGTATCAGGTTGCGTGACATAAATATACAATTTCGTCACATCGTTGTACAGCTTAAAATTCAATTCGCTCACTCAGTTATAGCTTGACAAAGGTACCAGTCGGTCATGAAACGTTGCGACACGTTTGATACGTGCATTGTTTGTGTAGAAAGTAAAACGTTGATATCACATATTTCCAAACTGATAAATCTTATTGAAGATAAAATCCAAATGTGTTTTTTTACAAATATTTGAGATCATGCCCGTGTCAACAGAATGAATTAAGGATAAGAATATTGAAACGAAAATCATCAATCTTATCGACGATGTCAAGTGCTTTTGGGGATATCCACCGGGCCCCGGATGTACAAATGTCGGTAAGGGGAAATTCTAAATATAAAAAATATAAAAATCAAAAAGAACCAGATATAACTTCACTGCTATAGAATAGTTGAGACAAATTAGAGTGATGTGGTTTTGAGGATATAATTTGGTTTGAAAACCCTTAATTCTTATTGGCAACAATTTGGATTTTTCATCAACCACTCGTTAACATTAAACGAATCTTTGAGCAACAAGGGCTAACATTTTAGGCTCCAGCGAGAACGTTAGTTTGCAACATAAACAACAACAACAGAAAACGAAAATGTAAACAAAATGGTAGTTCCAACTCAACATAAAGCAAAATCTGAATAAAGATAGAAATAAAGATGGAAAAGACCCTAAAGAGGATAAGATAAGGGTTTCAATAGGGTAGGTGTCTTCTGCCTCATCGCAGATACCTTCCATGTATATCTAAGAAAAGTCAGTCTGGTTATTAGAATATGAAGTGATGCCGTGTGTTCGATTGCACGGTTCGATTCCCTATCAGATATAGATGTATCATGTATCAATAGCGTTCGATTGCTGATTCTCCGGAAAAGTCATATAGTGTAAAAACCAGGTTAGTGATGTCATTGTAACTAAGGATAACGTATACCATTGAAACGACTAACAATACTCCATGCACATCAGACAAAATCTTAACCTATATTCTTAAATTAATTCTCAGTCTTCTGTGGTTTCTTTTCCTAAATGAATTTTACTTGTATTGTTTTAACATTTTACGAGGTATCAGAACAGAGCATGAATTGAGGTACGTTTTAAAAGTTCGGATGGCTATAAATTATATAACCACCCAAAGCCAATAACGCTTTAAAAGTTAGGATGGCTATTATGTATATAACCACCCAAAGCCAACAACGTTATTGAGAGGATAGATGACTTCCAAAGGAGCAACACTCTTCCAGGACTATTGTATCATAGGTTTATCAGGAGTACGACCTCCTAAGTTAAATACAAAGTCGTAATAGCATAACGAAAAATTCCGTTCAATTAGTCAATCTTAATACAGTGCGTGCCGTGCGTTCGATTGCTAACTCTCCGGAAAATCCAATGTTCACTGCACAGCATTATCGCTGAGACACATATTAGATCCAACTTCTAACCGAAGTGTCCGATTTCCGTTTTGGATTTTTATCATGTAATTTATTGCATCTTGGGACCAGCTCGTCACGTGCTTGAAGATTTTGTCATGCAATCGTATTCAGCAATAAAGACAATGCAAAAAAGAATGCCCAGCTCTATGACTCCATGGAGACATCAAGCAGACAAGCTTTCCAAATTTTACTACTCTGGACCAAGTTTAGAGTTTCATCCCAGCTATTTCAAACCTTAATTATGACCGTGACTTTAATGTGCTCAATTTGATTATCACTTCTTTGACGCATCACAATGAAACGCCTTTTCATGGTATTCTACAAGTCAGACTTTTTGTGTTGTTGAACATTGGTTGGTGGCATATTATGATCAAAATTATACGCTGATTTTGATATTAAAACTATTAACAATCATGATGACTTACAATATCTACTCTACTTATCTACTCTGATGCAATTTAACGTATCATCACACCTGTGCTAAATGCATTGCACTGGTTACCTGTACGATACAAATCGCAGTACAAAATTTTGGTGTACACAAACAAGGCACTGAATAGAACTGCTCCCCAGTATATACAGGAAATGGTCACCTTGTATCAGCCGTCATTTTCACTGCGGTCGGAAACAGAATAGTGTTATTCCGTATTGTGACCTATGGAATCCGTTGCTTTGAGAGGGTTTCGACAGGGTCATATTGTAAATTAGACATGTCTAAATATGTATCTCTGGATAAATAAAAGATATTATGTATTCGTCCACAATGTGAAAAAGCTTACCATCAGATATCAGTGAGTCGAAAACCGCTGGTTTAATTCAAGAAGGATATAAAACCTACATATTCACGTCTTCATTTTAGGCTCTCTGCACGGATGTCATGTACACACCACCCTTTATACATTCATTTATATGCATTTTGAGATAATTGTCTTCTAACCTAATGTATAGAGCTGAGTTGTATGACATTTTATCTGCTATAGATGTAACTATCACAGTAGAGATACTTTGTTCATATGTTCAATTGATTTTACAACTTAAAGGGCGCTATATTAATGTTGAATATCATTATATTATTACCAAATTTCGATTAATACCCATACCAGACCAAGCCTATACCACATATATACACATAAAACAGCTTCCCTCCAAGTTGTTCTTAAAAAGCTTTGTAACGTAAATTTTTCAGAACTTCATAAACACTGTGCAAAGGAAAGAGAATACTAAACTAATATCAACAAACGAAGTATCATGAAGAAATCAACAGGCCCCATCGGTTAATGGGCAACATCAAAGTTATGGAATAAACTTATTGTTTGTGTCTACTTTCCAGTTGGCAAACAACAATATAAACAGTGATAACAAATCCAGTAACCCCAGCTTTAATAGTATGTGAGATATACTATTACGGAATACACATCTCTTGCATCTTGCACACAGGGGAGGCCGTCCTTAAATGACCTTAGCTGTTAATAGGACGTTAAACAAAATCAAACAAACAAACAAACAAACAAACAAAAATCCGGTAGAAGCAGTAGAGGATATTGCCTACAATATATACTTTTTTTATAATAATTATACTTTTTTTGATGTCTCTATCACATTAACTGTTACAAAATACTCGCATGGTTTTTATTCGCAGACGTATTTGCTTGAATTTGTGGTAGCAATATCGGAAAAGTGTTGATTAAAACTTATCTGGACGAATGTCACACTTACATATATAAATATAACATTATGTACGCTTTGGATAATATAGTTTATTTTTTAAGTATGGCATGTTCTCACCAAAAAACTCTCTCTTACCATGATGATTCCATCAAGTTTAAGAAAGTTTCTTTTCCTGTTCATTAAAAGCAATCCCGATCTACGCACACATCTTCCGGCGTAGCGTTGCTCGAAACCTTGGACTTGTAAAACACAGTCAATCTGTTAGCTGAAAGCAGAAATGGAAATTAATATAAAATGTCATTTAAAACTTCATTAGATTGCGATAGGAGTTGAGTTAGATTCATTGTTTAAATCTACAAAATAATTTAAAACGTTAATATTTTAGCGCGGTATTCTAGTTTAAGCACTTTTCATAAAACAATGATAACATTGCGTCTATATCTCGAACGAAATAAGTAATTCTGAAAATACGTACATGGAATTAAGAAGGAAATTGCTATAAACTTACTATTACTATTGATAAGGGATACAAACTTTTGTTTGCAATATTTTTTTGTCCATTTCAAACATCAGCTTAAACGTTAACGCCAGCTAAAGGTACTTTTAGCTGGATGTTTATGTATGATGAACGATATTGTAAAGTTGGTAATGTTCGCGAGGGACTTAAATCCGCTATATTTGAGTCGCAAAACATATTGCAAATTTCATTGCAAAGCGGATGTTAATACCATGAATTATAATATCCGTGAATAAATATTCAAGGCACAAACATAAATATCATACCTCGTTTACTGCCGAACAATGAAGATAAAACAATTAAATAAAACACATGTAAAATAAATCCCATCACCTCAATACGAAAGTACACTAATGAGCGCGATATCTTTACCTAGCCGTATTGCACGAAATTTGACCCCGCAAACTTGTTATGTTCGGGAAAACCGCGAAATATTAAACCCGCGTTTCATCTAAATACAAATGTTTGTAATTATGTTATTCTATGCCAAAGCATCAATTAAGTCTCCCTCTATTCATTTCGTTGTTGATTGATTGTATGTTACGTTTCATGGTATTCTACAAGTCAGACTTTTTGTGTTGTGGAAGATTGGTTGGTGGCATATTATGATCAAAATTATACGCTGATTTTGATATTAAAACTATTAACAATCATGATGACTTACATTATCTACTCTACTTATCTACTCTGATGCAATTCAACGTATCATCACACCTGTGCTAAATGCATTGCACTGGTTACCTGTACGATACAAATCGCAGTACAAAATGTTGGTGTACACAAACAAGGCACTGAATAGAACTGCTCCCCAGTATATACAGGATTTATTTTATTTTATTCTATGCCAAAGCATCAATTAAGTCTCCCTCTATTCATTTCGTTGTTGATTGATTGTATGTTACGTTAAAGATATCCAAATTTGTTCGATATATTATTATGAAATACGTTAATAAGATCAGACAACAATATGTACATGTACAATGAAAAAATATCAGTTTATTATATAAATATATAATTGTCGAATGTCTGAGTATAGAACACTTACCTGTCTCGTAATAATCTGATACAGTCACGGGCACTTCCTTCGCATTAGCCACAATACTGCTCCTGAACACCTGGATAGTGACACACGTTGCCTCATCTGTCACCTGTAACAGATTCACATTGTAAAACTGCCTTGTTTTTAGAATAGCCTTCCTTGTTATTATTTAAGAAAGAATAAAATCTAGCTCGTAAATTTAACTGATTATGAAACTGAATAGAGCAACTATATACACAGAAATGTGACTGTCACTTGTGACGGTACGTTTAAAATAAATCCAACACAGTTAGAAAGGTGTTGATTGTTATTTTCTTAGACAGAATAAGTTTAGGCTCGTGATTTTAAGTGAGGATAAAAACAAATATAACAACATTGTATACATCATCTTGAACAAGATACAACTCACTACAAAAAACAATCGAATGGACAAATAAAGCGTCAACAACCAAAGACATATACGGCAATAGCAACAAGCCGATGTTATAGAATATCTCCCTACTAAAGTGGTGACAGAGAAAATCTTCAACCCAAGGGGTGAATCATTTGGTTGTCCATTCCGAAACTCTACCGAGGGTAAGACACCCTAACATGTTCCCAAAGGTTTGGAGATTCCTTTATAGGGGAAGGGAATGATTCTTTTTCTCCCATCTTTTAATTTCAATCCTTACTCGACCGACAGTACTCTGGCAAGTTTGTTACCAAAGGACATGTTGCGAATGAATATCGCCATTCACATTTTGTGACGTCATAATTGCCATTCACTTTTTAATATGTCACATGTTATTTCTCTCTGGTGACAAGCTGATCTTCCTCGGCTACAGCGAAAAATGCACGTGTGAAGAGTGGAGAGGAAATACAACAACTTCAACACAAGAGGACATTACATAGCAGTTTGACGCTCTTATTAGTTTGCCTATCGATGCTGTCTTTAGTCACTGTGTTATCAGCACAGAGCACAAACATACAGCAACGTCTACTTATGAAGACACGATACCACTGGGTCGTCACACAAGGTCAAACTAAGAACTCCAAGTTGGCACGAAATCAGTAAACAAGGAGACAAGAAAAATATGAATCTCGACAAACTATTGATGCGAAACCGGGTGATTTGATTATTCGGGATAAACAATGTTGGTGTAAATATGAACCCTTTTGAAATGATAAATGATTTTATCAGACGACATTTGAAATAAAAAACATTTTCAGAAAACATTATTAACATTTAATTCAATATAATCTATTTTAGGAAACCTAAATAGGATAACTAAAGATAAAAGAACAATTGTAACTCTCTTGAGATTTAAATTTGAAGGGAAAGTAAACTTTAATATGCTAAATTTGATCATGTATACACGTTTCTTAAAGCGTAACATACCGGTTTACTGTTATAAAGAGAACAGCATATCGTAGATTATACCCTGTATCAATATATGAGTTGCCCAATTCCCATTGAATCAATTGATTTAATAATAAAATATTTTGAAATGAGTTACACAAATAGTTTCTGGACATCTTATCACTACGAAATAACTCTTTAAAATGATTGACACGAACACAGTAGGATCAGATGACTTACGAAATCAAAGTACATGTCTATGTCTTCAACGTTCTGCTCTGCTCGCTTGAATGTTGGGGCTCCACTCGTGCCAATTGACGTAATGTCTCCCTCCATACCAGTGGGGAAACCAACATTCAGCAAAATCATGGTACTCCGTCCATCCCGCAGCCACCTTTAAAGTTTAAAAGAGTCCAATGAAAAAAAATGAAAATCTTACATGGAATTAACTACAAAGGAATTTGCATGTAAAATGGACAAACTCATTCAGAAAGCTTCGTGAGGCAGTCGCGAGGTACCGGCCGTAGGCTATTCAAGTTTTCCTCTGCCACAAAAACCTTGCACGTCCTTAAATTACCATATTTATTTATATGATTAAAATATATCCAAACCAATATGAGTCAAAATGCCTGGGTAAATTGGTAATATGAGTAAAATAGTGACTTGGTATTAATGAATGGAATGGGTAAGAAGCAGAAATTGTTCAAATAATGATATCATCTAAAAAAAAAGATGAAGTGAGAAATATGGAGATAAGCAGAGTCTTTATCACGTCTTATCGTTATAATAGGTTGTAGTAAAGATATACTAAGTTTGAAGTGTCACTTGCACTCATTGATAAAAAAAAACCAAGTATTGAAATACTTTTGTGCATTTCATAAAAATTCTACAATTAGTGATTGTCAGAACATTTGAAAGAAGATGCATTCGTTTTTCGAAAATCCAGTCTTCCTTTTACAATACTAGACCAGGAATCAACTAAAATAGCTTAAAAGCATACAGGTAAATATTTGCTAAGCAGTAGGTGGGGTTTTGTGTAAGTGTGAAATTCAATATTGAGGATTATGACTTACCGGAAACAAGTATCTAATCTAAAGCCTTCTAATGTCTCGTTTCTTAACGTGATATTCATGTCGAATGCTGGCACGCGAAGTTCTTGCTCAACGTTGAAGAACACCGATACCTGATATAAATAAAAGAAACTCTTCTATGGTGAAGTGTAACAATCATACATACTTTTAATGATATTATTGTGTACTAAAAAATCTTTTTTATTTATCTATTTTCAATTGATGCATAACATGCATCTGTAGATATTAAAAGGCTTCTTAACAACCTAACTGGCCTATTTGTTGAGCGAAAATCTGTTATATACCTTTTGCTTGCGGTTATGGCTACATGCATAAAATAAACGTCTGAATTCAGCAACTATCTCATCTCACGTTCGTAATAACCCTTTTAATTAAAATAGATAGGCGATGGTTTGACTCTCGTTTATCTTTGCAGCGCCATACATTTACATAATTTAGAATATGTTTGTCAGTTTATATGATATGTTGGTCTTGTGTTTCTTATGAGATATGTAAATGCTTACAACAACGCTATGTTCAACCTACTTCTAGTTATAAAATAATGATTGAACCTTTAAACTTGGTAATAGATACAGTAAGTGAAATGGAATTCCACTGCTATTTTGTCCTACTACGACTTATCGGTGATACATGTACTAAAAGCCAAAACGTTTACAATCTAAATATGCCGAACTAATTTTAAACCAAAAGGCCAGGTGCGTAATGCCCGTTATTCTGAATTTTAAAATGAAGAATAGTACTGGTTGATATTAAATTAGGTTATCTGTAAAGTGTGTATATCATGAACCATGCTTCTACTTTAAAGAGATAACAGCGGTAGCCAAGTAAGAGCAAACCTCGGGAACTAAACAATCCACCAGTAGAGAAGATATGACCTCGGTTCTGATCCAAATCCTACACCCTTGGGTAGAATCTTAATATTCCAAATACCTACATATAATTGACTATATTAATACACAGATTTACCTCTAATAAACAAAGCCCTAATCCGCTTGCACCGACAGTCAACTCCTGGAAGTTTTGCACATAAGGAATCTTGTATAAAAAAAAGAGAGGAAATAAAGTAAATATTATAAGTTGTCAGAATTTTAAGGATTTTAAATGGAAATTTATGTAAAAAGGAGTGAATTTTGAAAAAAAAAATGAAAGACACAATCTCTTTCAAAATAATGTCAATACAAATTATACTGACATAGATTAGTATTGCATTAATGTATATCAATTTAATAAATGCTGAAAATGTGTAAAATTCATTATATATAAACGATTAAAAATTGACATTTTATAATAAAACCATATACAAATAGTAATTGCATGTAAGAGTTATCTTTCTTGAAAAACTTCACAGTAGTGAAATAGGTAGCCGGTTACCTGAAGTACAGAAAAATGGACAAATGTGACTCATTGATAAAAAAAATACTGAACTAATGCCTGGATTGCTTTGAAATACTTAAATATTGAGAGAAAACACTGTTCTGTCAATAATAAACATACACTATTCATCAGTTTATTATTAAACATTCGAATATGCAGAAATTGTGATACTGTCTCCCTGCATTGGATTTTCAACTAGTGATGTACTTCCTATTTCCATTTATCAATACACTCCTGTGACCTTAATAGGCATGATTATATACGAGTCACAAGGAAAACTCAATCATAGACCAACACGAACAGTATTAACAAGAAGCTGCCTTTACAGTTAAAATTATGTTGAAAGAGACATAATTGACTTCATAGGCCTTGCAGACGAAGTATAATGATATCATTTATTTTATTGCATATACACGTGCTGAAAAAAATATTAATAACATTGTAAATCCAGCTTCTTCTAAATACTGCTTGTACTTCTCTTTGGCTGAGTTTTCATCATAAGTTTCCCCCCTTTATTATCTCTCCCAATAGGGAAGAAAAACAGTTGTAGTAATATAGCTACAGTACTATAGCTTATTTAAGCAAATAAAGTGTTACATATCAAATTAAATTAGATTGAAATTATTTCTTAATGAAGGTAATGACAAAATATATGAATGAACTACTGAAAACCTTAAGCATACCTCTTGTATCTGAAGCACCAGAGCATTGCCATTGGTTACTGTAAAAGTATGACTGAAAGATCCAGGTGCCGATGATACAGTGACACTCAAACTGAAGTTATCTTCATAAACGAGCTCTGCTAGGCTCGCCAACGCTTGAAGGGCGACAACTGTGTCCTGAAAGAATAATATATGAAAGCAATTCACATAAGTCCCTTACCTTACTAACAGTATATTTATATATTTTTTCATATTTTATGAGAGCAAATGTCATCTGCATTCCATACCAAAAATGCGCGAGAGATAATACAAAGCGTACCCTGTGCAGGCTGTAAATAGTTCCGGTTATATAAACATGTTGTTAAGTGCTAATGTATGCACATAATGTCTTTCCTGAATTTGTATTTCCTCACTTAAAACTGCTTTAGATTTAAGCAATAGCTAATCTAAAATATATGTCAAATCTTTGCATTAATCTAATCTGAAGAATTTAATCAATTGCCATCATCAATTTCCGTTTACCTGTGTAGAAATAAATCCACCTCTTGAATTTTGTTGTGTTATCAACCATTTCAAAATCTGCAGTCCATTTGTAGTGTCGTTTATTTCGACAAATGCTAACATAATATAAGCGGTGACCTCAATATCGAGTGCCCTTGACCTCGTTAGGGGTGGTTGCCAACTGGATTTGTATGGTGACACAGACTCCGCTTCGTCTTCTGGGAGAATCCAGTACTTCTGTCCATCTAGAAGGGAAAAAATGGATGGTAAATGGTACAACTACATCTCGTATAATCGTGCGTGAAGAAGAGCTCCACTCAGAGATTTGTTTGGCTGGAGTATTCTACCTTTAATAAAAAAGATGAAGCAACTAACCATAGGTTTTTTGGCTAAGAGTTACTTCCTCATCAAACTTTAATATGCGTTACAGCTCATAAATTGGACAATAATATATGATGCTAAGCTTTTAAAGTTCCTTTTTAAAGTTGCTGTATGGTAACATTGATAAAGCGCAGATTTTGTAATGTAAAGGTCTTTCGTACCACCCTAAAAATTATCTTTTTCTTTTTTTGTGTTTTTTAATATCTGTTTTCCAAATTCTAATTTCGAATAACCACAATTTTGTTAACTGCAAGACAACAAGTGATTGTTACGGAATACTTCTTTTGAAAAGAGTTGATTAATTATTTCACAATAGTAAAAAGGTTAAACAGTTTAACTTGTTGGTACCTTTTACCTTAAAAAATGGTATATATTTATGATATATTTAAAATAGCTGAAATGGACTTTCATTCGTATCGTTTTTTGAGGTTTGCATAGTAATACAAAATCTACAAGATCAAAGAAGAAAAATACTTCAGTAGGAGGTGTATTCAAGCATATAGGAATTTAATATAGGTTGGCTTTGTCTTAATGCACATTCTCACATTTTTGATAAGCATTTATCTTTTTTGCTAATCAAACGTACTTTCAACTGTTGCTCTGGACTCCAATTCTTGAAACAGATCGTCTATAATATTCAAGTCCGCGCCCGCCAATGTCAAGGCATAGACGGCGATTCCAAGTTCATAAGTGTTGTTAAAACTTGCAACCCTTCCACTTGTAATATATGCGGTTGCATCGTCCATGGAATCATCGACTTGTGCTGAAATCTATTTTTAAACGTTATGCATTTACAGAAACTTCGAGGTTACCTTTGAATTATTGAAGGAGTGGTGTAAATTGTTAAGAAGGAAGAATCCTCAAACTTTCTGATAAAAGATCCCATTAAAAAGTTAATTATACCGAAGCCTTTTTTAATATTGAAATCTACAAACTTTAAATCGCATAGCTATTATTGGTGTGATGACCCCTATTAATTCGATATTTCATCAGTAATAGCATTTCTATCTATGTTTGTTTTTAAAACAAGAAATAAATGACGTTTTAACAAAAATAGTTATTCGGCTTCAACTCGATGGAATTAGGCGAAATATGAACAGAGGAGCGATTCACCTAGAATCCCTTGAAAAGGGACTAAATGTGATCTGGCATCAAATGGCATAAAACAGGATAGTCATGAATGTTTTGTTTATTGGATATGGTATATCCATTTGACGATTGATCAAACATTATATTCAAGGTGACTTTGTCTTACTCACAATCTGCTGATTGCAAGATTTAAGATTGACTATAGAGCACAATCAATTCATACTCCTTCGGCCGTTTCTATAGATCGTGACGGCAGTATTTCATTCGGAATTCAGATCTACTGTTGATGTTTTTGGTTATTCTAATTAGTTTTCCTTGTTGTTCAGTTGTCAGTTACCCGCTTTGAGGACGTGACATTAATTAGATTTTACCTAGATATACATGTAATATGCCATCGATTAATCGAATGATGCTTACCCTTGCGAGACACCTGGTCCTATTTTCGTTGTACTATTGCAAGTGTTTCCATGACAATATTTCCTTTATTCAAGATTTGCCCTAGTTTTATCGATTTTTAGTTCATATTGCAGTCTTGTTGACTATTCGGTATCACCTTGTTTATTTAGTTTTTTGCTTTTTTTCAATCTTGGATCAGATACTGGATCCAAACCAATGCGTGTTTAGTGGAACATATATTACCTAATTGGAGTTATAAACATATAATTCATCTGCCACGTAGCTGTGATAGCGAAAATGAGTTAAGTTTTTGAGGCAATGCAACCTTTTCCCGAGACAAAAAACATTTATACCACAAAACATATTAGAACAACCCATACTCACATCTGCTTTTAACTGTAGAGCTAGATCTCTGCATGTATAGGTTTAACATTCCAATGATTGAATTATATGATAAACTGCCAAGTCATAGTGTATAGCATAGTGTAATTAAAACAAAGAAATGCCTTTTATTTTACTGTTATTCTGGTCATTTTGGAAAACGTCAGATAATTGCTGTGTATGATCTTCATGGGATTGCATTAGGCGATTCAAAGTTATTTTCATTAATACTTCTTTCCCTTTCCTTAAATCTTTTAACTCTCAAAATATAACTTACAAGTGAATCCACAAAATTCATTCGCTTTGCTTCCGCTAATGCTATAAGTACAAAGGAGGTACGTGCTCTTATAGAAGAAATTGATCCACCCTGTAAACGACAGAAAATTATTTGGTTAATCTCATAAGTAAATATTGCTAGGCCTTAAGGGTTTAACTGAACTCTTTTAAAGAGCATCATAATTGTTGTACAAACTTACCCTAAGGATCTTTTAAATTGAGTTGTAGCTATAATATAGGGTACTTTTTCTGCTTTGTCCGAAATTACCTTTGTTTGTGTAAACGTTATACAGCAATTTTGCTATTATCAGTAGCATAATTCTACACCTTGGGGTAGAATATCAATACCCCACATATCTATTTATGAAAGACTCTATCAAGCATTCCGTTTAAAGAATTGTGTTAAAATATTCTTGCCTGCATCCCTTTGTGAAGCACTATACCGGGTTCATGAAACGATCCATCTTTACTTTGTTGTTCCAAAAGAAACCCGATAGCGTGCGACATCACCCTTGGATCAATGGTCGTGTCATCCTCCGCCTGAGCAAATGCTTTTACGACGAATGCAGTTAACCTAGGTATGAATGTGAGGAGAAAGGAATTTCAAATTAAAAACAAAATTTTATTGAAAAAAACATTATAATCTAAAACAGAATGAGTGTTAACCTACCATCGGCGATAACAAATGGCAAAAAGTTTCATTTTGATAATTATGGTCTTTTTTGAGGTGAATATGTGTTGTTAAATGAACATGAAAAGGATATATCAACCCGATACCAAGTCGAGGTCAATATAACTGTTCAGGTTCATATAGCCACATTGTCACTGACGAATAGTCCTTCACTGTTGATATATATATATAATTATCCTTTTTTATTTTTGAATAAAAGCGATGTATCGTTATGAAATCGTGAAGAGAAAAAGTAATGCATTTGGCCGAGGGCATTATGACGTTAAAAATGTACATACATTGTCCGAAAATATCATGCGATTGAACTCCCATTAACCTTTCGCGTGGAACATACATTATAATCATATTGTACATGTAGGTGTCCGAATGACCTATGTTCTTATTGAAAACGTTTTCCTTTAAAACAAATTGTTTGAGATTACCAATCCATATAGTAAGGTGGTAAAGCCCTTAAATATCTCAATAGGAGTGTTGAAGCACAACCTTAACAAATATTTATAAATATAAATTACCATGTACTTCCACTCCTGTCGCTTTCACCAAATGCACTGAATGATCCATCTTTGTGCTGGAACATCAACTCCCGCTGATAACCTTTACAATTAAAAATAACAAATTTTGAATCAAGCCGTTTTAAAAGTTATTTGTATCAATGCAAACTTATCAAAATATATATTAGAAAGCTGAAAAGTATGTACATTGTATATAAGTACACAGTACTTGTTTCCTCATCATGTTTGCTTCTGTGATTTTGTACTATTCATGGCATGTATTTCATTACTTGAATATATACAGTTTAAATCAAAATATATTAAATTTGGCCAGTGGCCTAATGGGTAAATATCAGGTTGGTACTTTTCTATTGTGTCAAATAACACTTGCTATGTTCATACCTATCCTACCAATCAAATAGCAGGGTTACGTGTAAAAAAAGCAATAGCTTTTGTTAATTTTGACGTCACAATAGCCGTGGTAATTCCCACACCAATCCGACCAATCAAAGAGCAGGGTAACTGTAAAAAAAAAAGCTTTTGCTAATTGTGACGTCACAATAGCCCTGATGATTTCTCATTAGGAGGCCCCAAAACAGCATCCCTCGTCTCCATTGTTTCTGTGTTCGGAAGCCTGTTTCATTACAAAGAATACGTCAGAAAACGTAACAGAATATGTCTGCCTCTTGCAGCTTAGCACTTATGCAAAATATCAAACATTTCATCACACTGGTTGATTATGACAATATTATCAATGTGACATTCACCAGTGTAGACCAGGGCTACTTACACATTATCATAATTCTGAACGGACATGCATAGCATACATAAGGGAAAGGACGTAAATAGGCGCGGCTTGACGTCCAATCCCATTGACCACATTTTTGTCAATAAAATATGTTTGAATATGAAATATAGCATACACACCGGCAGCCAGTAATTTCTCGGTTTTCGCCTTGATTTCCGGCGTGAGTCGGTTAGTGGCACGGAGATATTGTGTAATAAACACATTGGGTACAAAGTTCAGTAGGTTTTGTTCTCCACAGCCGTACGACATCTGAAGAAGGTCCTCAATCCCAGCCAAAGATGGGCCCATAATGTCACCTGAAACGAAATATTAATAAGTGTATTAAAATATAATTAATCGATATAGGTACAATTAACATTGTAACTTACGAATTTAGGAAAAACGAACTTAATGGTAATTTTATTCGATTACAAAGTTTACGTTTATAATATCTCATATATTTAACCAATGTTGCGGCATTGTTCCTTGACACCCGCACGTTTGTGCGAATTAATGAGCTTAGGGTCTACGATTCCACTAATACGTCCTATCACCATCGTTCCGCGAAGAATTGTGCGCGACATGTTCAGATCGAAATAAACACTGCATGAATCATGACTTCAACCCATGACGACCGGTTTTTGACTGGGCGGAAGTTTCCCGGTGTACGGTTGTAAAATGATGCCAGTGTGCATTTACTTGTGATTTACCGGACAAATTGAGATTACTGAGTTGATATTAAGAACATATCAACTTTAAATAATAAAAAACACTTGGGGATATTTTTCCTAATTAACTTTTCGTTCTACAAGGAAAAAATCCATATCCTCCAGTTAATAACTTCGCTCTTCACAGTGAAAAAGTAAAGCATGATTTGTATGAATATTCACCGTTGCGACTAATCCATTACGGAAGGGACGATTAGCGACAATCTTCACAGTAAAAAATCCACTTCCTTTCGTACATAATAGATGTGTTGCTTCTTCTTACCTATAGCTCACCTGGCAGGTTAAGGGAAAGAATATGTCTACTGTATCCATATTGTCTATACAGATATAGGCGACTAATATGGGACCCTCCTTTTTATAATAATACTAATAATACTAATTCGAGGTTCTTATTCCGCTTTATCACAACCTAGTTTGTAGGTCGTCTCAAAACAGTTCACAACACATTGTTATTCATGGTTATAGGGCCTTTGCAACCCGCCAATATCTTCTAAACTCACTGGGGAGCACACATCAGGTGCTGTCATTTCGGCGCTCACATTCATTATTCAACAATACTAGCACTGCCCACCCACGTACTCATTTAAATCTCAGTAAACAGGAACAAGTGGAGCAAAGTGTCTTGTTCGAAGATACAACACAGTGCCGTCACGTGACTCGAACCCGCAACCCTTCGGTCACGAGTCCGGCGTTCTACCACTAGACTACCATTCTTCTGTGTCTTCTGAGTAGGGGACATCGAGAGACTAAAATATACCCCTGCCCTCATTGCAATACTTTGTTCCTATACATCTTCTATTCTTACTTCTCTACTCTTTCTTTTCGCTGGTATCTCCCTATGTATCCTTCTTCACATGACCTTTGCTGTTGCAAGGACATTTAACCCCAAACAAACAAACACACAAACACGAAAACAGCAAACAAACTTACCTATAGCCGATACCTCAATATACTCCGATCCAGAAACATGATCTTCTGGGAGAGTGATGTTGAATATTTCGGTCACAGGAGGACCACCATTCAAGACTTTCAAAGATGGTATGCTGTATGACTGACGAATACCCTCTGCCTACAATTATAGTAACTAACATAAAATGCGTGAAATAACACATATTTGATGTTGAAGTTTATTTTGAAATATACTATAGACGCAGTCTGACGTTATGTTTTGTTGGTAAATAGTCAATAAATAACCATCGGACAACTATTAAACATAAATATTTCGGCTAGTCGGATGGCGCAGTAGATACCACATTCGCCTTCCCCCAAGACGGCCGGGGCTCCAATCCATGATCAAACGTGAAAATGTATGGGTTCACCTGCCCCGTGTGATTTCTTCGTGGCGCTTCCATTCGGGCTAACCAGAGCGATTAATATCAGTTGGAAAAAACTGTTTTATATTTAATGTAAAATTATTGCAATTTTCAGTTACACTTAATCTATTAACCTTTTTTTTAATATTTCCCTGTAACCGATGTTTACAAATAAAAACAAATCGGCAGAAAACAACATTCGAAACTTCTCTTTTTTGAAGTTGACAATTAAATTCGAATTGGACGAAATATTAAAATTGTCGGGAAAAACGTATTTTTTTACTGAGAAAATGATGTAAAAACTTACCCTACTTTTTTGGATATATTTGTGTTAAAAATTGATGTCACAAAAGTTCTAAAATCATAACAAAATCCTGCATTCGAACAACGTTTGTCATTTTTCTGCAGCATGTTTATATTCAACTTAATACTGTTAATAGTCGTATATTATTTCTAAATTAAACAACCATGATACAATACGCTGCCAAACGCTACTTCGAATTCAACTTACTTTAACTTTGATAGGCTTTTTGATCGCATCTATATCTCGTAATGTGTTGCCTCCATTGATCTTTGCCTTGGCCAATACAGTGAGTTTCACATCCCCAATTATCAGAGGAACGATCGGGAAAAATACCGATCCAATGTCATCAGATGCTACTGTAACTGTCTGTAAAAAGGAAATGTCGTAATACAATATCTTACGTGATGAAAAGTAAATAATTGCTACACTTGGTTGTATGTATGTATACATATATGTATGTATGTATGTATGTATGTATGTATGTATATGTATGTATGTATGTATGTATGTATGTATGCATGCATATATGTGTGTGTGTGTGTGTATGTATGTATGTATGTATGTATGTATGATGTTGGTATTGGCCTTTAAATAAGACATTATGATATTTATAATTTTTAATGTTTATAGAAAGTCAACAAATAGATGAACAACGCTTCACAAACTTTGTACGATAGCACCTGATAACGTTCAGTGATATAAACGGATCAAAAAATAAATGGTTTCAGTTTCAAATTGATTAAAGAATATTCCGAATACACACCTTTGCCCATGCATTGGGAAACTGGGGGTTGTTTGGAGTAAAGCTTTTGCCATCCGCATCAGAGAAAAAGAATTTGTTCGTCTTCTTCAGTATGATAACAACCTGTAAAAAGGGAAGTAAATCGTACATTGCTCCCTTCATTATTGAGTAATTATTGTGACGCCGTCATTATGTAAATTAAAACATATTTTTGGTTTCGAGGATTGATTTGTATGATTATAATTCAGACTTTCATTTAATATGAGCTGTAGGTTCGTAATTTACCAAAAATAAATTAGAAAAATATATTACAGTTAAACCTCGATATAATGTCCCTCGTTTCAATGTCACTTCGTTTACCGCTAACATGTTTCAATGTCCTTTTAAAGAGTTCATCTGCACATTTCCCTCAAATTATCGCCAAAGTCCTTTATAACACAAAAAAAACCTCACTGGACAAATAGTGCCAGTGTACTGAAACGAGGTTTTACTGCCAAATTATTAAACTGACCTCCAGTTCCTTGTCGCCATAATTGAAAAAGTCGACTTGGACCACGATGATTTCTCCTCTGATGGCAGAACGTGGTGTATTAACTGTTAGGAACTCGTTTAAAAACACGGTGAGCTATAGGGTAATAAAAAGAATGGATATAAATGGAAAATCACTGAAATTAATATAGTACGCAATATGAGATTGACTTGCTTACAACTTCCGTTCTGGTTATTAAGACAAAACACGGCAACCCCATTAGAGGATCTTACATGAGTGTCCATGTTATATTGAATTTATTTAACGAGTTCAATAATTTGATATGGCACGAGTATTAATTAAGGCGTGTGTCATACTGGCCAAGTTCAAGAGGGACATTAAAACTCACCTCTTCACGTCTGCATTTTAGAATCTTTGCAAAGACGTCATGTAAATACCACCCTTTTATTTGTTCAATTTTGTGCACATTGCTTGTTAAATGTATGAAAGTGATTGCAAGCCTTTGTTGTTTGTTTTCACAATTATAACCATAACTATTATCCATATGTTGTAAAGCGCCTTAGAGTAATTTTACAAATTATATAGGGCGCTATATAAATGTTGTATATTATTATTATTATTATTATTGAATTTATTGATCAGTTGTATTAGAGTAATTTGATGTGGACACGAATGTAAGAATCTATTTATCGCATAACTTTAACAGTTTGAGAAAGAAAAATCAAACACAATTATGTGTTATTATATAACTCTATATATAAGTCAAAACCTAAGTATTCCGATCATAGTATGGTCGTTCCGCGCAATGCAAAGTAACTATAAATATTTATTTTTGATGATGGACGTTTTAAATGCAATAAATTTAATAATGACAAAATTTACATTTCAAATTTATTAAGAATGATAGTAAGTGTCATGTGTGTATAGTTAACAAAAGGTGTACCTGTAGTGGCGTAGGAATATGTTCCCACGGTTTTGACCAATCGCAACACCTAAGGTTTTATTACACGTGTGTGATACAATATGTATGACATGGCCGTATGACATAGTAGAATGGGTCAGTTATGTGATAAAGAAAATAAGAAGCATAAGAGAATATCGGTCAATTGTAAACGTTTGCGTTATAAATACCTCAGCTGTTGATGGGGCAACGCCGAGACCTGTCGTTGTGTCGGTTGCAAACATTGATGCTACCCATGTAGTTATACTGTCAGGTGTTTTACGCGACAATGATGCCTTTCCGTTGGCTCTGAAATGGTAATCTTATTAACTAACATATATTTTCATAATTTAGTTATTTAATCAAACTTATTAGTAACCATAGCATAACATTAATAAAAAGGACATGAATAGCGAGTTAATTTCGATTTATCATTCAAAAACGTGTTAATTGCACAACATAAGAATTGTGTTAACACTAGCAGTTTTCCTTGTTACCCGCGTTATATTGTATATCACATAAGCACAAATAGAATATATCAGAGATTCGCAATAAATAGTTCATCTATTTTGCACATTTTCTTCAGGCTGGTAAGTATTGATTGTGCAAAGTTTTTTTTACACAACCAATAAGAGTTTCTATGTGACGTTTTGATGACTAGAACGGTATGTACACTGTCACCTTCATCAGACAAAAGTACAAACAAGTATTAAACAAAGCGTAGCCGAATCGAGTCATTTCGGTATAGATATAACAACTATTGTACATACGCTTACAGCTTAGCCGAATCGGCATAAATTTTGTGGACAACTCGTACACATTTTACACCTTTGTGTGCATACGCTTCGCTGATCATTTGTCCGATGGAGGTGACAGTGTATATACCGTGCTAGTCGTTAAAACGTCACATAGAAACTGATATTGGTTATGTAAAAAGAACTTTCCATCATTCTATCTATTTTGCTCTTGATAACTTTCAGTGGGAAAAACGGGAAATTGTAAACATCTATACAACCGCAACGGCTGAATAAAAATCTAGATTTAAAAACAAAATCATTAATAAACATGAAAAAGACTAATCTTGTCAAGCATACACGATGACCATTACCACATGTGTCTGGTGTGAACATCGCGACGAAACAATAACGAGTTGTTTCAAACACATCCAAATGCAAAAAAGAAAGAAAGAAAAAATATGTAAGTTACCGAAGTATATGGCATTTATCAATATAGAATAGAAACATATTGAAAGCCATACTTAGCAAGCAAGACTTCCATTGGCCATTTTGTCAAAATAATTATTAAAAATATACCGATAATCAAGAAATAAATCCGTCAGGCACCCAACAATAACAGATGAAAAAAGTTTCCGCAGAATGATTTTCCAAATACTTTGTTTACCCTCAATATCAAAGGCAAAAGACTGAATACCTAAAAAGCTAATGATTCGTTTGGTTGATTCAAAGGCAAAACAATTTGCGAAAAGTTAAACCTATGATAAGAAATTATGTAAAAGTTATTTAAATTCCACTATTCATTCATAGAAAATGAAGCAGACATTACAAGAAAGACAAAGATAACAAGTTCCAATTGTAATGGGGACCATTACAGAAATCCACCAAAATACCTCCTTGTCAATGTGATGTATTAGAAAATGATCACAGTCTTATAGTTAACCATATTTGAGCAAAATAGGAAAATATCTAAATTTCCACCAATCAGAAGCCAGTATATGGCAGCCATTCCGACCGATAACAAACAAGACTCTGCAGTAGTTTTCACAGTGCCATTGTTCGCCTACGTACATGTAGCATGAGCATAAAAAGGGAAATATATAATATTCTTTCTCAAATCATAAAATAGTGTATGGTGTCATTTTTGTCACTGACCCTGCAGGTAGGGCGTAAGAATTGTACCTGCTGCCCCCAATTGCATGATCGTAAAAGGCGACTAAATTTGGGACCTTATCTCTTCTCTCCTTTCTAAATAACTTTCTTCTTCCTAATGTCTCCCTTGACAATGCCTCACTTTTGGCCATTTGTTGAGCGTTCGCCCCTGTGAGGAAGGCTTTGGGTTCTGTCCCCTGGCCGAGACATACCAAAGTCTTTAAAAATGGTAGTTTCTACTCCTGCTTAACGCTCAGCAAATTAGGAGTGGGACGACTGGTTCGCCCGTTGTCAGTATAATGTGACCGGGTGGGGCGTCCTGCTGGGTGTCTTCGGCAGTATGTTTCAGTGAGGTAGCACTATAAAGTCGGCATCAGTTCCGCGCTATCACAAGGAGACAAACACGAACATATCGCAGCCTCCCAAAATACACACACATACACTACACGCATGCATCTTGCACACAGGGGAGGCCGTCCTTAAATGACCTTAGCTGTTAATAGGACGTTAAACAAAATCAAACAAACAAACAAAAAATTGTCATATAAGAACACAGATGCAGCAGTAGTGCTTTCAGTACCATTATACACCTATATACCATATTTGAGTAAAATCGGTCAATATTGTAATTTCGACCTAATAGAAGCCATTACATGGCAACCATTTTATTCAATGGGAAAACGTACCAAATTTAAGCGAACATTGAGGAATAAGTATAGGCGGCCGCATTGTTCAATCACAAAATGGACTTTGCAGTAGTATTCCTATTCGCCCCCAAACCAAATTTGAGAAAAATCGCAGAAAATCTGCAGTAGTGTTCGAAATCCCATGTTTCCCGTCCAAGTTCGAGCGAAATCTGTGAATATCTAAATTTCGACAAAACAGAAGCCAATCTGCATCGACCATTATGTCTAAAAATTCAACTGTGTTAGTCTACTCATAAACTGTGTTGTATAATCCGCGTTTTCGACAACTTTCATTAAAATAAACAAAAAGAGGAAGCAGAAAAAGAAGAAAGGCAGTAATAACATTAAGTTCCACGACTTCGTTTGGATGACTTAATCTCTTTAGCCAAGAGTTTTAGCGAGCAAATAGCTGAGTAGATCGTTTGAGTTAGAATTTCGATAAAAGGAAGAAGTAAAACCAAATGCTAAAAGAAGATGAAAGTATTAGCAACGGATTGCTTTAAACACAAACCCCGCAAGTACAGAAGTCCAAATCCAGGTTTCCGGAAACCGTTTCCTTATTCTTACACTTGTTGTGACCTGGTCTGAACGAGCAGCTGCTGCTTCCATGATTATTGGTAAAGAAACTTAAGTGGGAAAAAAAGAAATTAACATAACGTAAACAAAAACGTCTGCAGGTAACTTGCACGAGATTCGAATTTTTAACAAAACAAAAAAATCTTTCTGACAGTGAAGTTGATGAGACAGGCCTATATATTCTATAAGAGTATCATAAACAAACTAGCATAAAATGATTTTAGACATGTCTCAACCAACCCTGCCGAGATGTCTGCCCAGATCCATGTCTCGGGAAACTTTTTTCTTATACGTGTACTTGAAGTGATGCGTTCAGCGTCTTCATCAGTCGTCTTAAAGTTTGCTCCTGACGTGAATTTGACAGCGGCAAGACCATCATGGAATTCAGGAAAGACTTAGGGAAGAAAATATCATAAAAATAATGTTGTTATTTTTTTGGAAAACAAACCCGGCAATTGTATTCAAAGAACTTTCGCCTGATTCTTGCAGTAGTTGTTGTTGCTGCTTTTGAAATCAAAGACGCTATAGGTAATATATCTAAACCGGCAGTGGTTAGTGGTCGGGTTTGTAGGCTCACAGAAATAAAAATCCTGTTGTTATTGTCTTTGTAGAACCCTCACTAAATCGGTCTGCATACAAAGCATGTATACATAATATTTACAGCTCTTGCTTCATTTGCCTGTTGTATGATGATCATAAAATGAACTAGTATACGTTTTATGTTATTCTATTCCTCGTGGTGTCTCCCTAGGCACCGGTGTTCATGTGACCCTTGCTGTTGCGGGGACGTTAAATCACCATCAGAGATTCGAAATCCCATCTCACCGGTCTGTAAGCTAACGATCAACAGCTATCTTTTGTCTATGATCGGTCGTCTAGATTAAAACGAATAGCTGTTAATATTTTCCTTCAAACATTAGAAAATTAAATGAGCTGTATAATTAGGATGATAGATGAGAATTGAACGACTAAATTGAAGCTTTTCGGCAGTTTTATTTATTTGGCACAGTCAAAGTCCAAAACATTTTTTTTGGTCATTTTTTTGCTATTGTATTCAAACTTTTTATCAATTATTATGAATCAATAATCCTAAAAGAGAAATATTGTCGAAAATTAAAGACACTCAATCTTTCATCATTAAGATAAAACATCACTTGAAAATTTAATATTTACCTCTGAAGGTTGTCCTGTATATAGTCAGATCAGTCATTAACACCACTCCAGCATTCTGAAAATGAACAAATATATTTCACTTAAGGATCTCTGTCACACGACTGGAATAAAAATGGAATTCCTCTGTTATTTGTTCGTGTATATATAGTAACCACCCCTATTCCCTTCATTTCGATTCTAATATTTCCGTTGACAAGGTAGCTCAGTTGGTTAAAGCAACGGTATAACAATTTGAGACCCCGGGTTCGAACCCAGGTCCGGACACGATTATATTTTTACCACCAGAATACTGTTGTTGATTACATTTTGTTTATCTGTTTTAGATTTTTCATAGAAGTCCACAAGGTATTTTTCTGAACAGAGAAGATTTATCAAAGTTGGCGTCAATCCGGAAAAACCTTGTTCCTTATGCGTTTAATGTTTTTGTCAGTGGTATGGGGACCCTGTCAATAACCAAATGCTATAGTAGAGAAGAACAACAGCCTCATGAAGTAAGTCGAGTGACTTGTAAGATTGATTTTACACACTTACTGAATATTCTTGACATAATAACGGCAAACATGTTTTACTTGTCAGTTACCTGGAAAATGGTAGCTGCATCAGTTCCTTCGTTGGGAATAGGAAACCACCGAAAGAACCGGAAAAATGGAACAATTGGCTGAGAATTGAAAAGCTGAATCTCGTCCTGAACCTGAAGGAGGGAAAACAAATTTAATATATTTCGCTCTAAAACTTCAAGAATACAATTGTACATTTGTTTGTGTCTGTATAATATAAAAACATAAAAAATGCATGTGTTCAAATTGAAATATTGCGAACGCGATTCCTTGGAAGCTAGTTCAATTTGGTAAATTGAGTTCGTGTAAAGCATCAATCACAATACTTAGATGTTGGGATCATTTAGTTCAATTAATGAGAGTTATCGCCCATTACGTGTCTTTGAATATTGAAATATCGTGACCTTTTATTAACTATCTGAGCAATATATCAAAAATTATTATCTCCGTGTAACTTATGGAACTTGATGCTTATGTATTTGATTTACAAGAATAGTTATTCTGTTGATATTTATTACAACATGTTATGATGATTAGGGAAGAGTGACGTTTCTAGTGAAAAATAATTTATTTTTGAAAACATACATCATCTTGTGTTATGTCGTTTCCTTTCTTAAGTAGTAGGACCCTTTTGTCTATGGCTAAAACGTGCATCTCTGAACCAGGTGATGCCTTCAGCTTGAGCTGAACTCGTGTGTTTGGTTTCGTCTTCTTCTTATTGAACTTAAGAGAAGCCTGTGAACAAAAACGTTAACAAATGATCCGATAAAAAATATGCATTCAATTGATTCACGAGATGTGTGGTTAACTTATTGATAAAGTGTAAAATAGATGTGTACGTATCACAAAATAATACCGTGTCGTATACAATGATGAGATCTGAGCACAAACTCGATACATACAAGACAACAATGGATTTGGGGAGACAGCTAATAAAAGGAAAGACAAAAACAGGAATTGAAGAGACAACAAAACAAAAAGAAAGACAATAGGACACCAAAACAAAGGGAAAATCAACAACAGGAACTGAGGAGACACGCAAACAAGAGAAAGACAGCAACATGAATTGAGTAGACACCAATACAAAGGAAAAGACAAACACAACTGTTGGGACATTAAAACAAAAGGAAAGACAACTACAGGACGTGATGAGACATCGAAATAAAAGGGAAAAAAACTCTTTCAGGTTTGATAATAAATCAATGACATCAAAATTAAACGTTTTCCATACAGCAAACGACATGTAATTATGTAAATAGGGGATTACTCTATCATATTATCGCACAGTTGAGTCTTATCAATATCAATGCTGTATCAAAGCCATGATTAGGAGAAACGTTACACAAATGGATTTGATACATTGATTCAACCAGCTAAGCTACCTGCATTTGAAGTATCGAATAATCGGTTTTTACGTGTACATTTTGTTTTAAGTAAAGAATACTTTTATGAATATCTTATTACTGAACTGAATTGGTGTTCCGTTGTTTCTTGTTGGGTTTTTTTTCCTCTGTTTTGAGTTAAGATTTGGCACGTGCAAAGAAACTATTCCATCTTTTATTTCTGCAGTTCTACTCGTTTCTTTACACAAATAATTACCATTTTGGTAGTTTTGCATGATTTGTTCAATAGTTTTGAAGAAGCATCAATTGAGTGAAAAGTCTTCATCCCACCAACTCAAATGAAATCCAACTCATTGATGGGTAAGTTAACAATGAAAAAGAGCTACTAAAAAGACGTTATTCACAATAGAAAAATATCAACTCAACTTTTCACGTTAAAACATTTTTCGTATTACACTAGTTAAATTGCAATACATAGGCTACTTACGTCGTTTCTGAATAGTCCATCTACATTTATACTGATAGAATCGGTAACGACTTCCCCATCGGGCCGGACGAAGTAGACTATTAGTGTCGACCTCGGTGCCATGAGATGTGTTAGTTTTACACTGAAAGTGGCGGACTTCTTCCTCTTCCCATCCACGTGCCCGTTTTCGACAAGTACGCTTTTAGATAGAATCTGAACAACCAATAATTGTATTTTAATGTAACAAACTCTTTTGTAATGTTAGAAGGCATTGTCAAAATATTTTCTTCTAAAAATTTATTTTATTTCTCTCCTTTATACAAAGACAAATACAAAGTCAAGTGTATGGATCAGAACAAAGTAAGTTTGAACCTACAAGAGACCCAATGCATGCTGATTGGCTCATCCCAAAAGCTATAAAAGGTAAAAAAAAAAAAAAAAAAAAAATCGAGATCAATGAACATGTCATTGAAACTGAACTTATTGCCACACTGCTCGGTGTTATAATTGATGAATGTTTGAGCTGGAAGAACCATATAGATTACGTATATAAGAAAAAATCCAAGAAGGTTGGTGTTTTTAACGTGTATGACACAAAATGTACATTAGCCTGTTACCGTACTTCTTTGATATGGTGTACTCCATCTAACATGGAATATTTAAACAAACTGTTTATGCTTCAAAAACGGACAGCAAGATTAGTTCTTAAAGTTACAGACTTGTTTACCCTAACCTCTGTACTTTTACAACTTTTAAGGGGCTCCCGTTAAAGAAATTTTATGAATTTAGGAAATGCTTATTTTTGTATAAGATTTAATATGACCATACTGTATATGTTCTCAATCAATATTTAAGCTATGTTTAACAAGTTTCTACAGAACTACACGTTCTTTAAACAGCATAATACTTTATTTGAAAAATTTGTAGAACAACTAATTATAAGAGATGTTTTCGTTACTCAGTGAGTATTTTATGGAACAATTAAGAAAGCTTGCTGCATAGTTGACATGTCTAGAGTCTTTTAAGCGGGCATACATGCAGAGGCATTATAGATGTGATCGTTTTTAGAAAGCTCACTCCATATTTTTACCTAGTTTGTGTTTTTTAAGAAAGAATACCTGCAGAAAATGTTTTAGATGCGACGAATAGTTTTATAGTTTAACTTGTCAGGATCTGCAAATGTGATATTGTTATTATTTATTTATATTGTATATATCATTGTATGTATCATGTCCATGTCCATTGTAAATTGTGTGTTACAGGGCCATATTATAAATTAGATTTAAACCTTAATGTGTTACCCTGTCTAAATAAAAGATTTAATTACTATCATTATAATTAAATATTGAGGAAACTTTGCATGTTTTGAATTCTTGACGAGCAGCAAACGCTTAATATACATGCTTCATAAAAAAATTTCTATTAATTGATAAAGATTATATGATGGTTTGAATGGGGTTTTTCACTAGAGCAAAATACGAGTAAAGGGTCGACAAAGCATCTCCTACAAATGATATATATTTGTTAATCTGTTAGAAAAGTATAACATTTCTGGAAAAATATCATATAATAACAAGGACATACATTTCATATTCAGTGTTGCTATTTTAAGTAAAAAAACAAGTGATTATTTGTGTAACAACTGTGAAAGGTAAAAATGACCTGAATCTTTACTTAGGTGCCTAGATCAAAATTCATTAGTAAAACAACTGGCATCAGTACGATTTTTTTTTTTTTTGACAATTTCATTGCAGTGAAACATACTGTATTCAAGTATTAATTTTTCAATTTCCATATCTTGGAACACGGTTAGTTTGTAAAGCAATGCTGAAACATAAATTTCTCAAAATATTTCCTTGCATACCTGAAATTCCACTAAAGACATTTTCTGTGTAGACTTCAGTGAAAATTTTGCCCGTTTCCCAGCCTGGACAAGAAAACAAAATATCTAATGTCATATCAAAAGCTATTTTTGAAAATAAAGCAATCTTCTTTGTAACATACAAAACCACATTACAATGCATTATTATTATTACATTCTGAACGGCCCATCAACAAATAAGAGGTCATTAGGGCCAATACATTAGACAAAACGTGTTAAAGGAAAAACATCAAACGAACGAAAAGGTAAAAGACAAACGTCAACTTGAACATATTCTAAAAGTGGCCATGATTTAGTTATATCTTTCTGAACAGACCGACAGTTTTTAGATAGTTAAGAATTGTAGAGATACTGACTTTTTTGAAAAGTGATTTCAGATCTGTAATATTATCATAAAAAATCTCTTCTTGGCTGAAGATTAATGCAATCTAATAACAAGTGTTTCACTGTTAATGGTTCTAGACATGCTATGCATTGAGGCTGATCTTCGTATTTCAATAAATAAGAATGGGTTATGTAGGAATTACCAATCCGTAAACGGGCAAACACAACCTCGTCTCGGCGGTTTTCTCTATAGTTTAGATACCATTCACCGATTTTCAGTTAGACACTTTTATATCATCATGAAATACAAATACTCACAAAAAAGACTTTTCTTCAGCAATTCTTGCATTTTATTCGCCTGAATAATTGCTTGCATAAAATTTCCGTCTCTCTCAGGATCACTACCGATGTTGTGAGAACGTTTCACCACACACATTAACAAAATACAAACAAACAAAAAGGTAAATGTCCTGTACCTAAGATATTTCTTTCTTCTGTTCTGAATACGAAATACATATGATCGAATGTACAGGAGTAAAAGCCTTACCTTCAGACCTGAGAGTTTAGACTTCAACCGGACTTGTAAATATGTATCACTTGGCGATATTGCTCGACGCAGGTAAAAATAAGCACTAGCAGACTCGTACTTCGCCTAAAACAAAAATATCAACTTCAATAATAGAATATTAAGGTTAAAGGTCCTTACAAGCTACTGTAAAATCAAACATTTCGTCATTTTTTTTTTTATAGTTTTGGGGAATCTTAATCTGCTTATTAATACGGCACGAAGTAATTACCAGTTGGACATTATTCTCCGTTTGAGTGAGTACTCGTTATCCGTAAATTATTGTTCCCATGAAATGGTGTTTGGTCTGGAAATCACGAAAGTTTAGCCCCTCGAAAATATCTGATTTCGCAGTAAACTATAATACTTCCACTGTCACTTTCGTGAACTATTTGTTTATGTCCTTTTCAAACGACCTATCCCATTAAAATCATATGATACATTTTGTAGACCGATAGTTATTCGAAATTTGAATATTTAAAAAACCAAAAGGAAAGATAGATAACTCTAACCAAAAAAATCGTTTTGATTGCTTCATCTTCTATGCAGTAGGGAGACAACACCTAGTCCTAGTGGAAATCTTTGTCACTATTATAACGATAATATGGTGCAGGTTACCCTTTTCCCCTTAACTGATTTAAATAACAACGACATTTAATTAAAATATAAATGTTTCGCACTCACCGAGAGTGAAACAGATGAATCTGGAGCTGCTTCTGGAGGAATTGTAACATCGAATGGGACTATTCCACTTTTAGGAACATCTTTGAGAATATGTGAGTTTATTGTTATTGTAGTCGAAGGAAACGGAACAGGGAGGAATCTGACTGTTGGTGATGTTTCTTCTCCTGTCCTTGGAGGATTTGGCGGAGGGCTCATTCTTTTCTGATATGAAATAGTGATGTTGACTTTTTTCGTGGCATTTGGCAAAACGGTGTCATCTTGCTGGGTAATCCGTAGCTTTGAATGTAGAATAATGATATTTAAGATAACACTAAGTTAAATGTCACTAACATTTCATTCTGCAATATGCTTTTCTATATTCAGCAGATTTTCATACAAAATTTCGATACCAAAAATAGTTTTTCTTGTGTACACTTATATAGGGCATAGACAAATTTAAGACAAACGATATCACATCTATCAGTTGGTTAAGGATCTCCAGTCATTAACTCTAAATGTACGTTATAAAGAGTAGAAAAAACATTTCAGCTGTTCTTAGAGTTAAATAAACGGGACCAGACTTAGAGTTGATCCTTCGGCTTCCAACCATATACAATGTAATACAGTCTGCTACCTGCTCAGTGGTAGTGCCCTGGTTAAGTTCCAATACAGTTATACCAAGAATGAAATTGAGGGGAGGTTACTGTTTGTATAAAACAAGAGGCCCAGAGGGCCTGTATCGCTCACCTGTTTCTGTTTTTTTCATAAAACTGACATAAAGGTAACTGCAGACCAAATTTGGTAATTAGAACAGAAAACATTTTTACATCTCTTAAACGGTTCTTAAGATATCGTTGTTCGAAATTTTAATTTTTAACACACGTTCACCTTTGACTCCGGCTAGCACTTAAAGTTGACCTTTGACTATATGACTGTAATGAAATGTACTTAAAACGATTCACACCGCTGGTCTACATCTGGTCTACATAACATACCCAACTAACATGACTCTAGACTAAATGGTTCTTAAGATATTGTTGTTTGCAGTTTTTAACATATTTGACCCCTGTGACCTTGAAAGAAGGTCAAGATAACATAATGAGGAAACTTTATAGTACTCTATCCTAGGTACCTACTGGCAAATATCATGACCCTGGGCCTGATGGAACTTGAGAAGAAGATTGTTTAAAGTTTTTACCTATATTAATGTTGAACTTTGCCTTCATTACCATTATAAAGTAAAAGATTAGCACTGCTGAGATGCATAATATTTCCAAGTATCATGACTCTAGTCCTTATTGTCCGTTAGATATTGGTTTTTGAAATTTAAAACATGTTTGACCCCTGTGAACTGGAAAGAAGATCAAGGTCATTTTGATGAGAAAACTGTAAAGCACTCCATCCTATCTACCTACTGGTCAAATGTCGTGACCCTAGGACATCCAGTTCTTCAGAAAAGGTCGTTCAAAAGAACAAGTTGACGGACGGACGGACGACGGACGCCACAGTTCAGCATAAGTGCACGTGGCCCTTCGGGCCAGGTGAGCTAAAAACTGATATAGAATTCTTTAATGTTATATTATAGTTGGACAGAGATCCTAAAGCTACACAAAGGACTTCAAAACTCGTATTTGCCGAAATAGCATTTGAAAAACCTGGCTGTATACTTACTATGCCATTGTAAACAAGACCAGGTTTGTAAACGTGTGGCAAAAACTCTGCAAAAGTAACTTTTTCCACGAATCGGTACAATCGAACCTCATCGGTATCGCTGATTTTATCACCAGTTAAACCTTCAATCACCGTAGCGGTAACACGAACTCTATATGAACTCAGAAAGGTCGTCACGTGCTTCATATCTGTGGAAAATTCCCTCTCTCCATTGAACTAGAGAAAGAAAATCGAACAGGAACTAAGATTATTGACCTTATGTGCAAAAACCAAGAAATATCTATCCACGATCATGACGATGAGCTTATGGTTTACTTATTTCATATTTTTATTTTGCTGTAGTTAAAGTAGCATTCATGCAAAATGGGGATATTTGTTAATGTATTCATGAAAGGCTTAAAATATAATCTCTGTGTATCCTTATATATATAATGTTTTTAAAATAAAAAAGAATATTACGGAGCTTGATAAAAATGAAAAGGCCACAGCTGGACCAAAAGGCGCAGTCATTTTATAATCTCGCAGCGGGAGGAAAGTCCTGAGATTTTCCATCTGAATATCAGATGTTGAACTTTACGATCGTTATGCATGAAATCAGAAAAAAATAAACACATTTGATAAGTTCAAAAATGTAAAAAGAAAACGTGGAATGTCTTAACAAATAAACGTAACATACACACACAGGTGATTGCACCTTGAAACATTTAAGTAATAGATACGGTATGTCAAACATGAATTTCACTGCATTATACAGCTGTTTCATCCTTCAAGTACTCAGCGGTGATGCTAAGGGGCCAACAAGGGGGCAATCTAAATATGTATATACTACTGTTGAAACAAAAGGGGAGGTGCGTAAAAAAAACTTTATTTTATTAATTTCAAAATTTAGATAAAGACTGATTACTTTCAAACTATGAACCATGCAACTACTGAAAACAGATTACATTCAAGTCGGTTACCAAGGTAACAGGAAACCTTACGGACTAAGAAATTCACTAGCAGAGTCTATTTCCTTTTCCGTCTTTGCGTATTGCAGAGTTATCTTCTCTTGTGAGCAGGTATTGATTGCTACGTCATTGGTTTTTGAGAGTAACGTCGTCAATTTTTCAGAAAACGACGTAATTTTCTCACAAAAACCAATGACGTAACAATCAATACCTGATCACAAGAGAAGATAACTCTGCAATACGCAAAGACGGAATATGTTGAAAGATAACATAGCATGCATTTTCTTTTTTAATACATGTCAAAAAGTGGAAAACCTAATTCTAAATCACATTTCTAGGTAGCCTTCTTTTCAGAAAGAATGACAGAAAACTGTTTAACAGATAGAAAGGCTTTTTCAGACATTTAGCGAAAAAACTAGCTTTTCCACTCCAACACCAACAAGAATCAACTCTCCATTAAATCTCAATTTGATAGTAGCTTCGAAATGTAGAAAAAACGACAAAATGTCACATGTTTAACTGATAGAAAAGCTTTCTCAGATATTTAGCAAAAACAAACTTTTCCTGTCAAATACGAACAACAATCAACTCTCTATTACATCTTTAAAACGAAGTTCAATTTGGTGTTCGCTTGGAAATGTTCTTTCCAATATCACGACAAGTTCCCCTTTGACAGGTCTTCCGAATGTATACCTGAAATAATACATTAGTTTATGGTACTTCATATCTACTTGAATCATCACATTTACTATGGAAATCTTAAACATCAAAACAATATTATATATATATTTCATATTTCAACATAACACTATATGGACATTGTACATTTGTATACTGTACAGTCGGTAAATTTCGCGGGGCATTTCATTTTGCTGTATTTGCGATTACCAACGATAGCCCCAAATTAGATATCCAGCGAATATCAATATTCAGAGTTAAAGAGTAGACCTGTTTACCCTTTAACTGTCATACATTGTAGAAAAGCACTAACTCAATCCTTCTTTTTTGTCATTTTTTAAACGCATCATCCAAATAGAAAAGTGCCCGCGTGAGCGTAATATTTTTACCTAGCCATGTTGTGCAAATTTAATCACAGAAAACTATAATGTAGCTCTAATCGGGAACAACGAAATATTAGCCCCGCAAAATTAACAACCAAACTGTATATTTCTGTCATAATTGACGTTTTTTGATAAATAATAAAAACAATAACAAAATCTACCTCAATTTCACTTTCACAAATTAGCCGAAACATGATTGGCAACATTAAATAGACATACAGATTCTAAAGTTGATCTCTTAAAGCAAAGGTATCTTGTGTTGATGGTGTGGTGATTTAAAGAAGAAAACTTCGTCATTTTATTTATCCTGGCCATTGCGTCATATTGTTGTAAGGGAAGGAGGGGAAGTTGGCATTAAGTTTATATAAACACGAACTGCTTTCAGGTAGCATTCACAATCAGTAAGAATTTTAAGTTGAAATGAAATAATTCCGCGTTTAATTTCTAAGCTATTTATATGAACAAAAACATCATCCATGCTCATTCAAAATCACATAAAATTACCTTATTCACACTTATATTTCAAGCTAAAAGAGCAGGTGTAAGAAGTACTATGTAACCAAATGACACGAACGAACATTCCATATTTAGTTTACATATCATGTTAATTTCACCCGAACGTTTTGAGGGTTACAGTTGTAGTTCTATAATTTCCAAATTGAACTTTAAAAAAAAAATCAACTTACATTGCCGATACTTTGCCAGTAAACTTGTCATCAGCTGCCACAGCGAATGATGGTAATATGAGGTTTACTTCATATCTTGGGAGAACTATAAAGAAAACAAGAACACGTATGTAGTATACCGTAGACAATTCGGAAACGATTTCTTTCCAACAGGAAAGTTCGGATACATGTAAAAAAAATTAGGAAAAATGCGATTACTAATTTAAGAGTTTTCCGGATAACAGAATATTCAGATACAAATACAAGATACGTGTGCGTCCTAATTTCTATTGGCCGGATTAACGAGGTAAAACAAATACAGTTCATCTGTTTTAGGAAAGCTTACATAGAAAATATCAATTATACCATTATCCGTTTTATATTTATATCAAACAAAATTCGTCTTATCTGGAAATAAATATATACATATCGATATACAAAAAACATCCAACGTTCTTGTGATGGTTATATATTTTTTCAAAGACACAGTTTCTGAGTATTTCCCTAGTTATTTCATTCCTTCAGAGGTTCATAGGGGATGTGCTTATTCATGTTGACAGTATACAACATCTGAATGAACACATCCCCTGAGGAACCTCTATGTTGTGGTTTAGTTTGGTTTTATTTTTTTTAACGTCCCATTAGAGATTTTAAAACTAAGTCTCTAAAGTATATGTAAAAGTTTATGCGTTTATCCGAAGGGAGCATACATTATTTGAAATTCTTATTATATTTTAAACCTGTCAGAAAATATGTTTATTTGATTTGGAATATATGTAGACGTCAGAAGTACTCTTGGTTGTCATTGTTGAGTATGGGCAAGATCTACGCGAACATTACACCTACACGTGCATTTGATGCTGTAGACTATGCACTATTGATACATTTATATTTCGCGTGGTATATTGGATATTATTTCAGCGTTAATCCGCGTGAAGACTCCGTCGTGAAAATATATACCTTGGGAATAATTATATCACTGTAGCATATATGTAATGTATTGTTCTCTTACCATTCGCCAATGTTATTAAAATACGCGAATTAGTCACGAGGTGTCAGCTCGTGATATAAAATTATACGCGTAATACAAGTGATTTACGGTGCATGCCATATGAAGTTTGATGACTATGTACTGTACATGTCATGTATCCTCCAGGATACCACTGACTCCTCTGCTTCAGCTGATTTTCATATTTTTCTTTTTACCCATCTTACGACAACTATGGCCGCGTGAGATCAAACTAAACGGGATTACTTTAATTTTGCGATTGTGACCTTTCATTTACTTGGTAGTAACATACTAGCCTCTCCCACATACGGCATTTATAAATTCCAGTGCCTGCTGTCATAAATTTCTTGCAAAATGTGTCATTTGTTGACAAATAAAATATGTACCAAGGCAGATGTGTGTACTTCGAGACTGCAATAAACGCCGAAGAAATGGTATGATCTTTATCTGTTCTCGTCTTCGGTCCATGATTTTGCCATTTTTATTTTTTCCGTATTTCTGTCTCCATAATTTGATGTTTAATAATGTCTTGAGTGTTGACGCTGTAGAATTTCCTCATGGTGTTTTTTTATTTTCAAAAACTCATTCAATTGATAAAATTTGTGACTGTTAAGAACAACAGCTTTTGGCGGAAATTAGCAAGCGACATTGCTAATAAAAAATTGTGCTTAATAACGAAATAATTGAAAGGTTTCGTTTCTCTTATGCTACTATTTTTCAGATACTGTTTCGTGTTGCTGCTGTGTGATACTTTCCCACTTCGTCTAAGAACTCCCTCTGAAATGATAGCTCTCATGTTGACCGTCTTTGACTAAAACTACGATCAATTCAATACTAATTTTCCAATATTGATGGCAATTTTGGATCAGCCCAGTACTTTAAACATAAAAAGGATACTGTTCATGAATGACGATTTGTTACCGGTCGTTGGAAGAGATGTATGGGAAAGCTAAAGTCAACGTAGGTCTCAATTTTATGACACAACAAGTGAAACACAGGAAACATTTTTAACCGATATACGGCAATATTGCACACCGACTACGGACGCCTATACGAAATATGGAACCTCGGTGCGCAAGTCGACGTAGCAGAGTGCTTATGACATTTATGTGGCTAAGAGCCTATCCATGTTACATGAATAACACTTTAGCAATTTTATTTGATGTTGCGGTGCACATAATATGGCCAATTGTATTAGACGACTTAGCTTCCTTCATTGTCTGCCTTCATAGCTTCCTACATTGCATGGCCTTCACGTCAGGAATGGTGACGACTCATTGGGAGAAGGAAGCGTATTCTCGAGGCTGTTGGTGCCATTGACGGAACGTACCACGAGATCTATATCCCCCAGGAAGATCATCATCTTTATTTCAGTGGACATCGTCGGTACCACTGCATCCATACTAAAGTCATCATTGACAATCAATTAAATATCCGTAATGTACAATCGGTATTTGTAGGACACAACAAAGACGCACAGACCTTTAGAATGATGATTCCAATTGAAAACGGCGGACAATTGATTTACCTCCAAATTGCTATCTGCCTGGCTACCGTCTTACCATTTAAGGTCGCTCATATACGAAGACATCCGCTTCGAAACCAAAATAGACTTCGACGTTTCAATCGGACAATTCGTATTCACCTGCTGAAACTCTTTCGTATAATTGGAACACTATTTAGAGACAGACGGAGAGTGTTGGGCAGAATCATTTGTTTGTGTGGGTATCTTGCTGCACGTCGAGCCAAGTTATTCTTTTCAGAACAACTCCCGAGTTTCAGCTGCAACAAACTTAGTAAATATTAAATAATTAATTGTCAGTTGTTTTTCATCTTTTTGTTTGTTTTGCTGGTTAGTTATTGTTGTGTGGATGTGTTATCCATGTCCTTCCGTAGTATTTTTTTACCGTGTTCAGTGTATTCAACGCTACCGATACACCTATACACATGTATGTATACGGTTGAGGTGTAGCCCGTATACTGAATGAAATGCGCGTGAAAGTAGTGTATTGTTTGGGTTGCTGGTGTCTCATACTTTATCATCAACACAAAACATTGTTTCTTAATTGTATTTTTATTCCAATATTTATTCTTTAAATTTTTAGCAAATTAGTAAGAATTATCGAAGATAGTATATAGCTCCCTTCGGATAAACGTATGAACTTTTGCGTAAACTTATACGTATACATTAGAGGCTTATTTATAGTGCTATCTCACTGAAATACCATGCCGAAGGTACCCAGCAAAGCGTTCCTCCCGGTCACATTATAATAACAAGGGGTGAACCAGTTGTTGTCATTTTCCTAAATGCTGAACGTGAAGCAGAGAATAACAACTACCAAGGACTTTAGTATTCTCAGAGAAGTACTTAGAAACTCATTGTATCATAGAAATATATTTACCTATATATATATAAATCTATTTATTTTCCATAAAGCGATCAACTTATTCTCTGCATTTATTTTGCCCCCTTGATGCGGTACCAAATTTTAAAACGATCCGTATACAAACGTTTGTTTCATTACATTTAGTTTTATCATAATGAGATAGTTAATAAAGATTAACCAATAGCATTTACTTACCGAACTCTCTTACTTCAAAAATCTTCTCTTGTTGCTCAATCTGTTGTCAATGAAGAATATATGATTTGCAACAGATTGAATAAAATCCATCCAACACTACAGTAATAAAAGTACAACAAAAACCATGCATTTTGTCGAGTGTTTTAAAGAACTAAAGGCTATATGTGTCATTATCGCGTTTTTGTTGGGTAATAATGAAAGTGTTAAATATAAATTTTGGCAATCCATGAGTTTATGTATAAGCAGAGAATATTCACTGCATCATATTTTTAGGAACCGCAGTCAAGAAGTTTTTACAGCAATTGCATCACCTTGTATGGAGTACATTTTCTGATATAATAATAATAATAATTAGAGGTTCTTATATACCGCTTTATCACAACCTAGTTCGTAGGTCGTCTCAAAGCGATTTACAAATACGTATCTGTTGTTTTAGGGCTTTTGGAACCAGCCAAACTATGTCTCAACTCCCTGGGGAGCATACAGTCGGTGCTGCAATTTCGGCGCTCACAGCTAACATTCAACAACTCTAGCACTGCTCAATCACGTACTCATTTACAGCTGAGTAAATTGGAACAAACGGAGTGAATTATCTCAAAGAAACGTAACTCGAACCCGTAACCCTTCGGTTGGGAGCCCGACGTCCTACCACTAGACTACCGTGCCTCCATCATAAGTAGCACAAATATTTCAACACTTCGTATTTAAGCATGTACGAGTTCTTTTTATCTCAAATAGTCTTACCAACTGTTCCACGGAGATCGTCCAGTCGCCAGTGCTGGTGAAATCGTTCAGTTGAAATTCGCCTTTAAATATACTTGAAACAGGGTCAATAAAAGAAATCCATTGCTTGAGTCTGTTATTTCGTGAGTCCTGCAAAAACAATAAAGTGCCACATATATCCGCATTGTATTGTTTTATGTATTGTTTTATTCGAAGACAAATGTTTCTTTTAATTTGCAAAAGCAAGAAATTGGAAAAATACTTCGTCACTGTATGGTTATAGTTTTAACTTTATTGAATTATTTTTATTCATAAGAGGAACTAAATAAATAAAATATCAAACACCATATACCACAGCGCACATACACACCAGAAAACTTTTGAAAAGACAAAAAGAGAAAACACAAATTTTACAGCAATTATAAAGATTTATTCATATACCGAAAGAACATGCTTCTGAATAAAATTCATGTTAGTCAATGAAATTATGTAAAAGTGACCTGATTAATTACGCCATCTAAAATAACTTACAAGTATGGTGACGTTCATGGGAGCACGAACCACTTTTAGGCTAGAATAAATTCCCACTGCCCGTATCCGCACTGTAATAGTATTGTAATAATTACAACATAATCAAAATCGCTATAAAATAGCACACTGATACGCAATATGTCTTATAACATCTATTATTACAGCACACGGAACAATTCGCATTTTATATACAATGTAACAAGTAAGATATCATCTCTCAATACATTTTTCAAAACCCAAGTCATTAATTAAATTCCTTTTATCAGAGTTTTTATCCGTAAGGAGTACCGTACGTTGATGACACAACGGTGCAGAATTCCAACACCTTAGTTATATAAGCGATTGATTCAAAGACCTATACAAGGGAGAAAAACAAACGCGAAATAAACAAGTTTTAAAGAAAGCATCAGAACCTAGTTTGTATAATGTTCGTGTCCGGTATCCTCTATTTTGTTATATATATAATTCTACTTAAAGATTGAGGCGATGAAATTGCTAGATCATCATTTAGATATGCAAAAATATGGAATCTAGAGATCAGAAAAGGAGATTTTGCTAAAACAACATCAAAGATAAGACTTAGATTTGTGAAATGAAATATAAAAATGACTTATCAATGCTATAGTCAAATTTCATTTTTGGCAGTGGTACGGAGATCCTTAGGTTAAGCTTACCTAGTTCACCCGGCCGATACACAGCTTTGTCAGTCTGTATGAATATCGAGGTTGCTTTTGGCGAATATGTCAAACGCACGCTATCAATAAACTCCAGTGCTCCAGTCCCTTCTGACCGTAAGGTATAAGTACCCGACGGAAGATCCTCTGGTATCTGCACACATAGAAAGGAAAGCAAGAAGTGAATGTTAATTTTTGTATTTGGATCAAGGGAAGTATACTTTTAGCTTGGTAACTCTCAAGTTTTTCGTCGATAATTAGAGCAAATCTCATTACTTATCTGCTGCAAGTACCTTAATGATTTTCAAATATTTCATTGTTTTTATTCTGACTTGATTTATCACAATCTCTACTAATTGTTGTCATTACACGAGTGTAAGAAACGACAACTCTGGTTAGCGATAGGTTTTATCAATAAAAGCTGAAAACCTATCAAAGTCTAGAACATCGTCGAAACCATCAGAACAAGAAAGTTAATACTGCCAACTTTTCAGGTAGACTTCTAAAACTGATCATTATCGCAGTATTCTTGAATGTCTGGTGCATCATATTGATGACGGCAAGATGGCTGTTGATGTGAGCAGTCGACAACACTTGAAATAAAACAAATTTGCGTCCATAATGTATCCGGTTCGGACAGAAATACATTAATTGACATGTTCATAAGTATGTACAAACTCTCACAATGGCTGACGCTAGACTTTGGAGACAAATCTTATTTTAAAGAGCAGTAATTAGTTTACAACAAACATGCAATATTATAGAAAAAATCATTTGAAACAGATTTAATTTAAAAGAAAAGGAATCAATTAAATATTGATGTAAACTTGAACTATCCCACATTTGTACTAGAGCATTTGATATAAAAGAAACACTTTTAATGTCTAGTAACTGTTAACATAACTGTCACTTACCTTTAGTTCCAACACCTCAGGTATCCCTAAAAATAATCAAAAACAACCCTTAAGTCCGCTTATATAAATCTCATATGCTTTGAATTTACACGTTTTGCGTTGTCATCTGGGTTTTTTTCATATTGCTTCAATTTCAAAATAACGCTTTATTTTTTAATACAGAAAGCTCTTGAATATTCAAAAGTATTGATAAACACAATTTGAGGAAACTTAAATATTTCAGCATTCATGGTTACAGTAATTTTATTTCACCAATATCTTGTCAGCAGACATGAAGATAAACTAACAAACAGATTTTAAAATATATGACTCACCAGCATAAACTGTGTCAGACACATCTGCAATACTTCCATTCATGGAATCTAAAACAGCTAAATCTATATCGACTGGTCCAGTTGCGTTCACTATCCGAACGAAGACAGAGATCGGTTGACCAGGTTGGATTGTTTTGGGTGCCAATATGAAGTATGTACTGAAAATGTAAACATATTGCTGAGTGTCGATACATGAACATGATAATACAATTCTAAAATGCGTTTAAGTGTCTTTCAAAATATAGAATACTTACTCGTCTGCAAATGATGTCGCAAATAGCAGTACCACCAAGCACGGTTGCAAAGTGAACACCATGTCTGAAGCCTGCTGATTGTGCTGTGAGAGACAAAATACAAATGCTTAAATGCATCACTTAAATTCAATCGAACATATTACTAAATTCACACTTCATGGCAATATCAAAAACTTGTCTACAAATCAGATTAGCATATTTAAATTGAACTTAAGTTACCTTACTGTTTAAAAGTGAATTGAAATCACAGCTGGTACACTTTATACACATTTCAGAAAGTTTATAAGGATATTATAAGGATCAATTGTGTTTAATATGTGAAGCTATACAACGGCAATGTGTAATATCTTTTTTTTTAATCTTTTTTTTATTTTCATTAAGATTTACACATAATGGTGTTCCCTTGATTATCAGAGATTCTGCTTTGTCCGGATATCAATCCTACCTTCTCAACAATTAAAATATGATCAAATTGTTAATTATGAAATTATTTTTGGGATAATAAGACTTAAAGAATGAAAAGTAAAAAAAAATGTAAATTTGTGCATCGATAGGTGAAATAGAGATTGGCAAAAAGAATGATTACAAATATGTAAGGTATATGTTACTTTTAAGATCGATCGCGGTCAGTATTTAACACTGTACCAAGAAAAACATCTAGCATATTTGATATGTTACGGTGAAGCTTTAAACACCGTGATACCTTTACATTAGCAACAGCTGATATATATAAACCCACCGAACAATGTGACTATGTTATAATGCAAGGTTATTGACAGATGTGTGCATCCACTAAACCTGGATGTGAATGTGGTTGCTGCGTAAAATGAGTCATTTCAAATAATCAGCTTTAAACATTGTATTTCAAGAAGGAAGTGCTTAGATTATAAGAATGATGCTTTTATTGTCATGCTTGGAGACGTCAACATCTACAGTCTGTGTAAATATTGAGTTACTTTTAATGTCATCTTTTGAATAAATCGACAGCTAAGCTGGCACATATGTCACTGAAGTATCATGAAATGCATAGATTTAAACAAAAGCATCAACAGGTAATATAAAACAAAAACTGCAAGATATTGTCAGGGAATAGATAATATTGAGTTGCAAGGGGGTATGATTATTGTGTGAAGCAACAAAATCAAACTGTATTACACAAAAAAAGCAATTTAGATACATTTATTGATTAAAACAAAAGGTATTACCACAAAGAAAATTAGTATCACACTTTGTTCCAACATAATTGATGCCCTTTTTTCTAGAAAGCGATTGTTCAAAATCATCATTGAGTTAAATTTTATTGGTGACATTTAGAACAAAAATAAAGAAACTCTTCAGATGGCTTATCAAATAAAATGGTACATTCTTACAAAGGTTGCCACACTTGCATTTAAAAAGTTCTACATTTCTACATTCATTAACAGCACATCACGTAAGGCCAATATTGCAATTTATTAAAATAATATATCCGATTATAACTATGAGGTTCAAATATTAATATATTATCATGATTTTGGAAATTATTTACGACACATATTATTCGCACTCAAGCAAAACATTCTGCCTTACAAGAGAACAAAATGTGCTTTCCTTGATTACTTACGATGTAATCTGAATGGATGTCAAAAACCTTCTTCTTAATATGTAAGATATAAAATTAAATTTCCTATACTTAAGAAGTGCTTATTTAGCAGACTCAATGCTAAGTGTATGATGGATGTTGATGCTTTGGTGAGTTGGTGCACTGACACTGTATGCAACGGGATACTATTTACAGAAACTCTATATATCGTAGTCATAACTCGTAAAGGCGCTAAAAAAACTAAAATAAGAATATTACGCTGACAGTAGTTAGGCGTAAACAGTAAAATATATACAAGAAAAAATGACAATATTTAAATTGGTAGTACAGACAAGAAAGACTGAAGATGTTAGAGGGAACAAAATAATCCAATTTTACAAATATATGAAGTATAAATATGTAGGTTGAAATATCCATCATACCTTGATCCGTATTCATGAAACCGTTCTCATGCTCAAACTCAGATTCTGTGCTAAAGTCCAATTTTTTTTTCAGTGAGAGATTAATCAAAATCCACATTATATCAGTGATTTGGAGGAACTTAAGAGAATCTAAAAGCCGAATATCGTTTTTAATATTTACATATAACCTTTTGGCCGTGTCACATGATTTAAGCGAGTTGCAAAAGAGTTAGTTTGGGCACAAAATTCATGCTTAAGCATGAGAACGGTTTCATGAATACGGGCCATGATTCCTAAGCACGGCACAAAAATCAAACGCAAAATTTAACTTATTCGATGTAATTGTATCATTCTTTTATAAAGCCTTTTAAACAATGATGAATTGATACTAGCGACAGCTGACATATATTATGTCTATATATGGATCCGTCGATCAATGTGGTTTATTGGCTGTGGAAATATATCAAGTTACTGAAATAAAAAAAATATTGACAAATATAATAGTTGTTGACACTTTACCCTAAACTTATTATGATTGTAACGAAAAATGGGTCGTTTTAATAATCAGAGTTTTCCTTGCACAATTAGAAGGACTTCAATTATTGAAATAATGCATATTTTCAAAAGTGTATTTTTTAAGAATGATCGAAAGTTGATGATTCTGGTACTTTTTCTCAAATAACGTTTTTTTTACGGGGTTTTTCTATATTGTACCATTATAATATGTGCTTTTATTCTTCAAGTTTTCATTAAGAAATAGCAACAGATTGTTACCGACCGCGTTTTCTCTAAAATATACACATACCGCTGTATCCTTTTTATTGTGTGGCGAAATATTTGCGAACAAATGTCACTGGGAATTATGGTAATTTTCATACTCTATCCCGCATAACGTTTTGTGTATTATCAACATATATACATTATTCACTATTCAAGTAACACGTGTTCGAATTTCGTTTCATATCAATAAGATTAACCTATGTGACACAACCTCCTGATATATTTGAAGTTCATTTACATTTCATTCATAGTTCATAACGTTACTGACTATAAATGTTGGAGATTTATTGAGTAAATGTACTTGAGATATATTTCATATTTGTATTGAAGCTTAAACTATTGTGAGTTTCCTTTCTTTAAATACAAGTGATTGATGTATGACAGCTTGAACAATAATTATATTGATTTTGTCCTTTTTTGTCGTATGTCTTCACAAAAATGCATATTTTAACATTTTCGACAAGTATGATCAATTGTAGTAAACATTGAGGTTGTTATTCGGAAAACGACTAAATACTAAATTTGAGCACGTTATTTTAAATTTCGACCAATCAGATGCCGCGAAGGCCATCTTGGACGGGTTGCTGCAAAAAATAAAGTTTTCTTGCACAACTACATATGCCCACCTTTACTAAAGTACTTTCTTTGAAGTTTCCGATGTAGTTTCCGAGAAAATGGTAGACCAGCTCTCGACTAGTCAGAGGCCATGACGGCCATCTTAGATGCATAACTGCATACAGATATATTTATAACACATCTATGCACGCCACCCTGTGGAGTTTCATTTCAATCTTATTTGTAGTTTCTGAGAAAACCTGCGGACAAGTTCACGATAAAGGAGAGGAGCTTTAGTTAGAAGGTAAACACAGTAGGTCCCCAAACAAGTTGGTGGACTTGATAAGAAAACGCGATTTACTGCTTTCTTTCAAAATATGGTAAACTTTTTATCTGGAAATATAGCATTGAAATGAAAAATAATAATATACACCATGACATATACTTTTAAATCGTTTTCTTCTTTGCCAACAAAATCGACAGAAGTTCCTTTGTAGAAATTATAAGATCCCCTTCCTTCATTTTCAACGTTAGTTTACGATATAATTACAAAATCAATTAAGAAAAATCAATGAAAGAGAGGAATATATGAGTTGGCAATATTGAATATAAACATCAAAAGTTTAACAACATTTTGGAAATGGAAATCCCTGAAATACCTACTTGGTCAAAAATGTGAAATTATAAAATAATGTAACATTAGAATATTTTAGCTTGATTTTATTTAAACTGGGTATATGTACGTTATGCACCAATAGCTAATTCAATGAATGCAAGAAAAGAGAGAATTGATATCCTAACGAGTAAGAAACGTAAATTAACAAAGTTTGATCAAGCGTTCTACTTTATTTTTTTGCGTTAATATTGCATGTTGATACATTCTATATGAACGAATTTGCAGGCAAACGGTTTAATGCATTCTAGCGCAATATGTTATTTTGTCTGTAAAGCTGTCACTCAAAAAGACTGTAAATGCTATATCAACACAATTGTATGCATACAGTTACCAACTTATATCACAGAAATTAAAAACTTCTAAAAATAGTCAGCATTTATATGATCTTATATGTTTGTCCAATGAATTGAAGAGCCATATTTCACGAGGTCTGTGGTATCAAACGCATCAGTTAAAATGTCATTATACTGATAAAATGAACACGTGGGTCATGGCATTTACAATATATATGAATGCCATTCGAACTTTGTTGGGTAATATAGTGGCAGTGCCACAGAGTCGTAAATATTTTGCGCATATCATCAGTAATCTTTAGTGTTATCAAGTCCAATTCAGAATACATATTGACAATATGCTGCCTCAGATATACATTGCAATATACTTTTTAAAAGCAATGATAACATACCTTGCAACAGACCTCTTCTAAGTATCACATTCTTTAGTTTATTGTCTACTTAAAAGGTCAATAAATAATAAGTACCTAAATTGCCAATCCTGATGTTAAAAAAAGTCTACTCATCAAAAGGGTGCTAGATAAAATGAAAAATATAGATTGAAACAAAGGGGGAAATGCCCCCTGAACATTTACTGAAAAGAACAACAACAATATTTGATGTGACTGGATAATAAT